CAAGAATGTAATTTATATATAGAAAATATTCCTAAGTGTCATCAGTTCTTTACATCATTCACGTAATCGTCATTTTTTTACACTCTGTACTTTATCATTCTAAATCTATGAAATGCTTAACTTATCAAGTTAGTAAATCAATATGTGAACATTTCTATTTTTTACTTTTCCACTTTTAGACAAAAATTATGATCGATATCAAGTCGATAATAAATTTCACAGAAACTATATCTCGTCTGTTGTGCGATAAAAGTTAGTTCAGCAAGTGATATTAATATTATTGATTGCCTGTACACGTTCTTTCCATTTCCGTTCTTGTAATCAATTACGGACCAAAGCCCTGAAGGTGCAAAAAGAGGTCGAGAAATAATCACCCATGAGACAAAAAGCATCTACCTTATTTTCTCTCGATGAATCGAGGTTTGCCAACTTTTTTCGCGATGTATTTCGTTTCGATAACTATTAATAAAGAAACTTGGACTGAATTTAAAAACTATATCCATTAAAAAAAATATAATTTTCTAAAAATTAGAACTTGTATTTTTCTAGAGACAATATCTAAATGATGCTTGCAAAATGCATAATATTATATATTATTCACATTCGAATAAATCAATTTCGAAACTTGCAAGTCAAAATCTGATATCTTTGATTATTAAAAAGTACGAGAATATTCTGAACGTCTTCAAATCTTTTTTTTTAATTACGAAATAGTTAAATATTAGAAACGTAAGCCGCATAAAATTCATTAAATTTTTACTATTTTATTTTACTATATATTTACATATTATTAAATTTATTTATAATAGAGATTAAATACACATAAAAATAAAGTAAAAAAGATCAATTTTACACAAAAAAAATTAGATGAAAAGCATAAGACAAATTCTTACTTTGTCGCAATCGAATTTTGATCAAGTCCACAGTTAACGATAAGCCACTGTCCACTTACATATATTTTACTGACCTTGCGACTAATCTTTATTCCTTTTGGGAAATAAAGTCTTAAGTGGCGCAAAAGATTAACCTTCGGTCAATTTGCGAAACTGGGAAAGACTTCTGTTGATTTTAAGCCAATATCGCTGTAATGAGAAAGCGCTTTGTGTGCCCGCTTTGTATGTACATATTACGAAAATGTAAGAAAGAGAGCACGCTTTAGAGTTGGCAGACCTTGTTCCGAGAGTTCTTCCACAAAAAGGATCAATTGTGTTATAAAGGGAATCATCAATCAATCAATTCGATCCCTGTCGCTCATACATGTGTTTATGTACTTTTAATTAAACACGCGCACACAATCCGTATTAAGCCCTTTGCAGATTTCATAGTTCGAAACGCGGGTGTATTTCATTATCGCTAAATTTATCTTGTCTCAGTCAAGACCTCAGACTAATAGTACGCTGACCCAAATCTGATCGGAATTACGAGTCCTGCCAGAGACAGGAGATTCTAACAGGAGATATATAGATGTACGAGTACTAAATTCGATTGAACTCCACCCTTCGTCGGTGCGACTAATTAAATTGCATGACGTAAACTCTCTGATTGAATAAATGTTGCAAAAACTCGATCGATTTTACTATAATTCGTACGAAAAAAGAAAAATTTCCTAAAATAATCTAATTATCTCTTCTGTGTATCTTTCCGCATCGTTAAACAGTGAATGATTTACATTTTCGATATAAACTTTGATTTAAAATTAGTTACCAAAATTAAATTGTATATCTTAAAATCCAGGAAGCACATTTTCCGTTATTCTAATTTAAAAACGTAAAAATAACCAACAAATATTCCTTTCTAGCCAGATAAATAAATTTTGTTTTGTATTTTTATGCTAAAGAAAAAGATTTGATTCTTCATATATACGCATTGTGTGCGCAATCACAATAACTCATAAACGAGCTGTAAAATGCCCATCGCACGAAATGTCCATTTACGTCATAAAGTAAAATCCAGTCTATTTCCGGATTAATGTAGATCCGGTATAGGTGGAAAATTTTACAATCACATTTTATTTCTAGCCTGTTAGAACGGAAATTCTCTTTAGCGTAAATATATTCATATTTCATTGATTCGATGCTTCTATTTTTTTAATCTTTAATTTTTTATTTATTCTATTGTCATGTGTGTTAATTTTCGTGAAATAAGGATTCTTTTAATCGATGAAAATAAATACAGTAAGTTGATGAAATATATATCATCATCGATAAATACTTTCCGAAACGAACATTAAAATTTAATTTTGAGTTTAATTTTCAAAGTTGCAAATATATGATTATGATATTCTCAATATCTCGCGTATCCGTTATAATCACGTATAATATATATAAAAAAACTTTAATTCTCAACTGTTTATGATTTAATTTTTAATTAATATGACAAAGTAACTATAATCGGATTTATATTAGCAAATTAAAATACACAGCTTTTTTCATTACTCATCCTCATAATAAATAAAAAAATAATTAAATTATAAATGCATTAAAAAATAATTTAAGAGAAAAATCCGTATCGCTTTCCCGGTACTTCATAAAATACTAGAGCTAGATTTGATTTTACCTAGTGGTTGGAAGTAAATGCTATATATAGCTTAGGGGTCTTTTACGTAAAGTATCTAAAAGCACAAGGGCTTTTCCAACGATCAATAAATAATTCCGGAAAGCGCAACTTTAAAGGATATCATATTTTAGGTGATCTCACTTGCATGTATATACATAGATACAATTCGCGTTTTTATATTATCGTGACGTAAAAATGATAATACACACACACACACACAATACCTGATTGTCATATAATATCTAGCAAAACTAATATGAATATTATTACGTATCTAAAATGTCAGGATATAAATTCTTGGAAAATCGTACCGATTTGATTCATCGCTGCACATTGAAGACGACATCGTCTTGTTCTCAATCTCAGTCCGACTGATTTATATTTCCAACAAATATTCCTTTTTCATTAAACGACATTTACTTATTCCAGCAATTTGATTCAAAAATATAATTACTGCTTTCCAATCGCTTTAAATTGCTTAAACTCGTCCCATTTCAGTTCTCTTTAAACATGTGGCACTATTTGAGCACAATAGGGAAAATTTTCATGCACAGGAGTTTATACTGCAGCCGCTTGAATCGTATATTATTAGCAATTTTCATAAATGAAAAGTCACGCTATTGGTGCAACGAGGTAGGATACTGTTCTATGTCATGCCCTCGACATTGTTTTCTGTCCAGCTTCTATTTTATGTTATTTGTATTATTGTTATATAATGTTCACACTTAATATATCTTATTGTTATAAAAGTGCAAAGATTTCTTCTTCGTCTTACAATATGCTTATTTATAAAACAAGCACAAGTATAGCGCTTATTAAAGTTAAATAAAATAAATTTATATCGCAGAATAAATAGCATTGATTAGCTATCGTTTTAATATTGCACCTCCTTGCACTAATGGCAGATTAAACAGTGACAGCTGTTCAGCATTAAATAATGCTTCGCACAGTACACATCGATGCTTTTTACCACAATTATCGAATTAACGAAGATGCTTATAGTTTATTGAAAAATGCTTTTAAGTAGAACCGGAGCAGCGCGTCGTATCGCGTAGAGAATTCATGCCAATAAGAACAAACAATTTACATTAAAAAGAATAATACTAACAGCATCCTAAAGGATTTTTTCGCGCAAATACACATATAGTTTTCGCGATACGACAGCGCGATTTACGCGTTAAACAGGCGATACGAAAATTCGGATAAAAATGTGTTTCAAAATATTTTTAACGGAAAATAAGAAACAATATACGAGTATTATGTTAAAATAACAACAGAGTCACTATAATACAACTGATATCTATGAAAAAAGAACGAAGAATATATTTTGAGTAAATGTCTTTTAAAATTCTCCTTACATGTAAAATGTGCTACTTTTTCTACCTTTAATATTTTAAAAGATATTAATGTAAAGTAATAATTAATTTTTAATATTTACTTTTTAGGACACTACTATTATGGTATATTATTTGTGTGAACAATTATAATTACAAAATTAGATAAATTTGATAAATAAGACAATGCGATTAATTTTATATACAAAAATGTATAAATATATTTATTAAATAAGACAAATATTTATTATATTGTGGAAATAATAATTTTATCTGGGTCAATTCTCGAATCGCCTCTAAATTCAATTAGTATTATTATTCTGAATATGCGATAAATTTTTGTAAGTATTTTTAGCTCTTAACTGAAATAATAATCTTCGAATTTTTAGACACTTTTGAAATATAAGAGAATAAACCGAATATGAAATATAATATCTATATTTATTAATATAATACGAATTTGTAAGAAAGAAGAAAACGCTATGTACCGTAATATGTAAGCACTCACCCAAAATTTTAACGTTTAAATTCTCTAAAATTAGTAAATGTAAAGATATATATATGATAACGTAGACTGCAAAATCGTGAAATCGTATTCTTATTGCAGCTGTTTAAGAGAAATAAAATATAGGAGGGCAGTGAAATGAGGATGCTATTCAGATTTTCTATTTTATTGGATAAAACTAATTTTATTTTAAACAGAATTTAATTGAATATACTTTTTCTTCCTTGAAATAAATGTATGAATTGAAGAAATTTCACGTTTTATCACCAAGATATTGATTAGTGCGAAGAAATAGTAAATGATAAAGTTCTATCTCTAAACTGTGCCGACCGAAGAAGAATCGAATTTACGATAACAAATTTATAACCGAGGAAAAATTGCAAAATCTCCGCAGTGCATCCTGCAGTTGATTCTCGTCTCTGCAATCTTGTTCGCTGCACCCTCATTCGCCGCCCTCCGTCGGCCTCTCAACTTTTCTTATCACGTAGATCCCACGTGCATTAAAACGTCACGCTTCGAGAGGCCGCGCTCGATTGCAATTATCACCGCCGTCGATCGCGCTCCCGTGACGGTAACGTGATCAAAAACGAACGTAAAATTTCCAGCATCTGCACTGGTCGAGCCATCACGTGGACTCCTTAGACAGCGGCGGAGCTTTAGGCTGGCCGAGAAGCTCGAGGCCGCGCGTCAACAGTGCCATCGACGTGGCCGGCTTCCTATCGCAGGTAAGTAATTGTGCCCGGGAAAAATCCACGCAGAGAGATCGATGGATTACGCGAAGTGGACAGCCGCGTCCTCGAATCCGCCGATCGATCTGCTGGCGCGATTTCGCCGCGACCTTCCCCCGGATGCATGGACTAACCATGCCGGCCCGCGTACAGTCGCGCAGCCGATTATATAGCAATCGAGGAGATTGAAATCGGAAATCAGTGAGCGAGTTCCAAGGGTAACGTTTAGCTTCAACTATACGCGATACGAGTATTTACAACCAAGTAACTGCGCGTCACTCCAAATAGATCGTCAGTCATTGCAATTTGCATTTATACAATTGATGATAGTTGGACATTTTTTAATAAAATATACGCAATTTCTCCGATAAAATCTAAATTTACGTGTCTTGGGAAAACTTATACTAATTCATCTCCCTTAATGCGACAGGTGCAAGTACGATACATCTCAATGTATCTTCGGGAATAGCATAAAAAATGGCATGCTATTACGCGATAGCAATAAACGAAACAAAATCACATTTATGGTAAAATAATTTTTACAATCTTGTACGTAAAGCATAAAACAGAATATTAAAAAAACAAATATATATATATACTATTTTTGGACATGTATTTTGTATAAAAATTTGTGTAATATTAAATATCTAATTTTATGTAAAAAAAATATATTTTCTAATTTAATGAAATATGTTATTAATATATGTTCGAGTTGATAGATAATTTGAAATAAAATTTTTATTGTATGCTAGTGTTTCATTGTGTTGAGCTTTATCATTAATAAAAGAGATAAAATTGTCGACCACTGTCTCTCTTTTTCTTGTAGAAAGTTATAACGCGCTGTAAAATAGACTGCATTCTAAGTTTCCGTACTAATTGTAAGAGTCTACACTAATTACACGAAAGAAAACGAGTGATCATTAACTTCGAATACATAAAAAAATATAATGGTTCATTAAGTTCACTGCGCATTCTGCGATCGTTTGCAAGCCTTCTTGCGCGAATGTGTTCGATAATTTCTTATTCTATCAAAATGACAGGCTAAATTACAAACAAGATAGTCGCGATTATATACTTGTATGACTCGAATTAAAAGTTTCCGTTCTGTCCATCAACAACTACGTATCGATATTTTGTTTTATTCTACTTGCACAATTGTTACACGATTGTTATAGTTTCAGATCGCGCGTTTCGGCATATATTGTTAACATAACGCAACCAAGTCGAAGGGAATAACCATATTCCTCATTCCTGCGACAGTTATTTCAATAAATAATGAACACGAAAGAGTTCGTGCGAAAGAGATACCTCAAACGTCAAAGTTCAAGGTAGTTTGAGGCAAAGTGTAGTGCACCACAGATGATCGATATGTTCGTGGATTACTTGTAAGGAAATGGACAAATTCATTTTCGCCGCATAAACGACGTGTGTATTACATTTCCAAATCGCGTTCTCATTAAATCGGCACTCTATTTTATTATTTGTGTCGTTTACACTATTTCCATATATTCTCCTCTAATCTCTCTATATACACATTATATTACGACACGCTGCTGTCGCGATTAGCACGATACTATTAATGATAATTGGCTCGCAATTGGCACAATATTAGCACAAAAATATCGTCAATAATATGTAATTCTATTTGATGTTTTGATGTTTTTCAACATCGATATTGCACACGAGATTTGTTGCATTCGGCGTATATTGTTCTTTGCAAATTAGATTAAATTTTCCAAATAATCGAGCATTTACAAATTCTATTAAATTACAAAACACATTCGCAAATTAAATAAATATAAATTTACGTTAGAATATTCTACTGTAACGTAAATCCCCTAATAATTATATCAATTAGTTAAAATTTTCATCTCGCGCGTATTCCTGACATAAAATTTATATTAATCTGTGAAACCGAAGTAAACTTTTTGATTCAACATTTGAACAGTAACTCAAGCACGAAAGAGGATGTGCCCAAAAAGCACAGCAAGCACGTGTTGCGATATGGCAATTAAAAATATGTTTCTGCTCAAAAAGAAGCGTTACGTTCTTCCATCTCTCGCGTTTTACTCACGCGTCACTATCTTTGATCACATACTGTTCCATGTATTACACTTAATGGCGCACAACGTAAAACCGTAACCATAAAAAGTCTGTGAAAATTCTGTTAAAAACGTAAAACGCTGCCCTAATTGCATCGCGTAGTTCTCTCTGACCGCATTCAATGCTTTTTTCGTTTCAGGAATTTCTGCGACGCCACGGGTCCACGTCCAAATTATGTCGTAAGGTTCGCAGTGCAGATAACTTACCTCTCGCGTCGACGAATCGCCAACAGGATCCACGAAGAATTTCCAGGGAGGATGGGTTCGAAGGGGACCGGGAATCCTTCCTGAAACCAATTCAGGACGATAAGTCTGACGACCAGGACTTAAGAAGGCAGAGCAGTCTCGAAAGTGCAACGAAAGACAATATGGAAACATCACTGTTGGATCCCGGTTGTCAACAACCTTCTTCAAGGTAAGTTCAGTTTAAGAAATAACTATCATATATATCATGTTTCTTTCGTTACATCTTTCAAGTTAATAATTTGACAAAATGTACATTAACACATAAAATATTTTATTAGTATATTATATTTTTATATTAATAAAATATTTTATTAATCTAAAATATTAAGTTATCCTATATATAATATGTAATGCAGATTATCATAAAACAATGTTCAAACTTAATTTTTATTTCATTAATTAAAATATATTTAAATCATTCTAAAACAGTGAAATATCAGCGCGTGTGAAGACTAAATAAAATTGGAATAATTAATAGCAGCAATAGAATTCCATACATGGCTTCTATATTGTATGTTACAATTGAATACATGTCTGGTTAAATATACATATACTTTAAACTTTAAAGTATATTGCTTCCATAATCTTAGAAGGGTCAATTTAAATAGACTCTCTAAGAATTTCGCATTTGCCATTTGCAGTGTGGAAACAATATCTTTATAATTCAACGGTTTGGACGGACACGCTACTTCTTATCCTGTTTCGATAGTAATCTATATTATGTAGTATCTTGAAAGGTTAAGATGTGCAGATGAGAGATAATAAAAAAACATTCTCATTTATCGAAAATTCGCGTCCTGACCCGGGAAACTGCGTCATATTGATCGTAAAACGCAATTGCTTCAGCTGCATCGTGATTTTAGATGAACGACACGCTATCTCCTTTCCTTCCCATATTTCTCTATATCCAAATTTTTACAATTTATTAGTATCACAAGTATTGTTGCTCGCAAAAATAGTTTTATGAATATTTGCATAATACAAATAGAAATCATCAAATAACGCTTTTGCATCACGTAGCGTAGCAGTTTAGAAGTAGTTTTTTTTTACACATTCGCGTATGTATAGTGTATTTTAATAATTGCAATAAAAGCATGCGCATTTCATAGTGGCTTTAGAGAAATTCGATTATACTTGCATAAATAAAAATAAATAAATAAACACAACAGATGTATAATAATTTTTAAGATAAATGATAAAATGATTATATCGTATTTTATTAAAAAATAAATACTGAGGAATATTTTTTATTTGCGTTTTAAAAATAAATTTTTTTTATTTTTATAAGTTTCGATAAAATTTTTATAAATCAGATATTTTAAAATAGTAAATTTGTATATTATTGCAAATACAAGGTATTCTAAAATTAGAAATTTTAATTTTAATGATAATATAAACAGAGAATCTGTAAAATTAAAACATTTTAAAATTGCAAAATTGTGAAACAGTTTTTATTTGATAATTTATTCAGTATATACAAAGTTAATATCATATCAAAGCTTTCTTTCAGTGGCACGTGCTTTTTGTAGAAATACTCAAACTACACAGCTATTGTCTTGTATAGCAATTAATTATATGAGTGGTGTGACATTGCATATTTATATAAAATTCACGTTACAGATATTGGTAATTTTATTAAATGCCGTCGTTCTTTCGCCGAGAATACAACGCACATTTATTTAATGCAACGGCAATTTAATGTTAATGTTCATTGATGTATCAAATTAAATTAAAACACATCCATGCGTAAATATAATTTCAGACCAAATACGAAAAATTTAACATTCATACGATCTACAAAATTTTTGTAATTATTTATTGGATTAAAATAGTCTCGATATTAATAATAATGCCGATAAATATTATAAAAGAGATACTGATTCTGAAGAAATCAATATCATATTAATATCATCATAGATATCGGTAAAATAAAATTTGTAAAATATAAAAACATTAATATATGTAAAACTGCTGACTATGAAATATTTGATGATGTCAGATACGTGAGTCTCAGCAAAGAAATCTAAATGTGGAGATTAATACTTAATGTTGAATAAATTTGAATTGGAATGTATCGATTATGTTAATTTTCCATAATAACTATATAATATAATATTATAAGGGAGAAGGTAATTTTTTATGCCTTCAAGATTATATTTTTACTCTTATATTGTTTATAATGTAATTACCGTTACTATGCAGCATGATGCAAAAGAAATATCGAGATTCTATCTTATTAACATGCCTTCATAAATAAACCCTCCATTCTTTCTTCCTTATTATTTTAAAATAAAAGAGAAGTAAATAAAATAAAAAAAAATAGTAAAATTTGTCTCTAGAATTTTTTTATAAATATTTCATTACATGTGAACAAGTGCATTCATTTGATAAATGAAAATCAATATTTATGCTTATCGTTATTGCTCATCAGCGTAATTAATATTGAAAAAAAATGCATATCAACGTACTTATTTTCATTGTTATTTTAACTTGAAAGCAATTTATATTAGTAAAACGCAGATCATCGGTGAGACTTACACAGAGTAATAAACGCATCGACCTGGCCGCGTTGCGGCCAGGTGCGCTTTCGCCCGCAGTATCGCGCGCGCAAGTGATAATGACAGTCCGGGGAATTTAAATGTGGCGGTACATTGTTGCGGGTACGCGGTGACTTCGATCCGCGATGCACGACCCCCCTTTCCCGGTTGGATGGGTGGCTTATCGATCACAATTTCACTAGGCGATGCCCACTTGACCCACGCCTCGCATGTAAATGACTTTGCTACTTTGCAACCCTTTGCAATCGTTCGCGCTGCGCGACCTTCCGCTTTTCGCAGCGCGCGTTGCCGCGTGTTATTCTCGTATCGCTACATCATGTTGCAAACTCGCGCAGCGATTAGCATCGACGAGGATAGTGTCGACGGTTTCTGTCGGTTGAAAAACAAAGAGCTGCGCGAGTTGTGTGGGACGTTTATTCCTTTAACTATACATCAAAGGACGCAATAAAAAAATCCCAGAATATAATTAATAGATTCTGCTTTAAATAAACTTTTTATTGTATTATATGTATATTAATGTTAAATAATAATTATACATATAATATTTAAAATTATAAATTATATTTATTAATATAATGCCTCTGATTGAAATTTGTATTTACATTTGGCTGAAATGTATAAATTTCAATTCAGAAGCATTACATTAACAAATTAAAATTTATCTTACAATCTAGTTGTAAGATAGATTTTGTATTTATTGAATCATTTTAGAAATAAGTTTAAAAAAATCATTTTCCAATCTTTCTACAATTACTTTAATCTAAAATTAATATAATTTTAATCATTATTTTGTATGCATTGATATAAAGAATAAGAGTAATAGAAAAATGAGATTATGAAACATTTTTCAATTTGAACTATTCGCTTCAAATTGAAAATAGAAAAACTATGAATATTAACAAGAAACTATATTACATTCCCTTTCAAGAAGAGAAACTGAATTTTTTAAAAATTAGATTTAGACTATTTCCAATTTAATACTAAAATTTATCAAAAAACCAATAAAGATACGATAGATTATTTGTACGTTAATTGATGGTCGTTATACTAAATTGAATTGTAAAAATTTCAATTTGATAATTACTTTTTTATAAAATTAAAATATCAGAATTTACTCTTGTATAACAAATAGATATGTGATAATTTAAATTAAAGTGTGATTTATGTGATACAAGTTGTAACTACTCATTTTTGGTAATAGAGAATTATTAAATAGAAAATTTTTCCAATTAGGCCATAATTTTACAACTATATTCACTGAATATTGTTTTGCATAATGTTACAATTTATATATGAATATAGATAGTTATATAAAATATAGATAGTTTTTAATTATATTGTTCTCTAATTTTAAATACGAAGGAGACACTTTTCATTTGAAAAAATACTATAATTAATTCTGTCTTATATATAATTTTATTATTGAGATTTTAGTAATAAATATGTAAATATAAAAATAGAAGGGATAAATAGAAACTACGAATAATTTTATATAAAAAATTGAGATAAAAGTTAATGGTCTTATTCATTTCTAAAAAAAAACTCATGTATAATGAAGCTTGTGGGTATTAAAGACATAAACTGCATATTGAAAAATTCCTAATATATAAGTTTAATAATTATTATTTATTATGTTAATATAACTCATCGATTTACTAAGAGATTTTAATTTCTTTTATATATCGATATACATATATGTCACAGTATCTATTGCCCAATGTAGAATATCTCTTTTTAGAACGCGATTGCGATTTAGCAACAAAACGCGGAGAAAAATATTTCGAGGTATATTAAGGTCTATTTTAAATTGTACAATGATCGCTGCACATGCATGTCATTGAATATATTCTGCAAATATCCTGCTTTTCTTTCTGCATTGCATCATTTCTATAATGTCAACGTTATATGCGCACATGTCACTAACGCAACTGCTATACGAAGTTATAAATTATGAAAAGTCCGTGTGTGTGCATGCGACGTACGCAAACTTTCTTTGTCCCTAGCTTGATTTTGTCATAAGTTACGCAAACCGTGCTGTTTTTTTTTTTTTTTTTTTTTTCACTAACATTATCTTCTATGACATTCAGAACTTTATCTTACGATTACTATCGAACTATGTAAATATTGTTCAATAGTCCCATATCTATTCCTTGACGACATTTGACAGTGAGATTTTTTTATTCACATAATTTGTATAAAAAACTCAAGAAAAACAGATGGACGTATGCGATATGTAATATGATAGTATATTAAATCTATTTTAATGTCAAGACTTGTTCATAATAGCATGTGATATAAATCTATATAAACGCAAATATTCCATTTTAATATTCTATTTTCACATATATTCCATTTATAAGTTGAATTCACTAAAAACTATCGCACTGTTAAATAGTATTTACATATTAATAGATTCTTTTTGCTTTTGATAGCCAGCAACTAATCGACAAGTTTTGATTCATTTTTTATAAAATTACGAAGATTTAATATTGAATATTAAAGATTTTTAAATGTGTGTGTGCAAAATCGAATGGTTTCAGCATATGAAATATAAACGATGAGATAACGAAACTATTTATAATCTATCTTCAACTTTGAATTTCAACAGAAAAGTTTATTTTCAATTTATTTTAATTTTACCCCCCTTAAAATAATCAGTTATTAAATTATTCTTCGGCAATTAAACTATTCTCTGTCGACAATTTCGTATTTGGATATGTGCAAATGTAAATATCACGACGTGTAAATAACACTTTATATACAAACCATACGAATATATTAATTTTCAGCGTATTTATGAAATATTAAAAATAATCATGCTCATGTTTCAGAGACTCCCCGGTGGCATCATCATCTTTGGTCACCAAACGTTTCGGAGGATGGCGTGCCAGCGGAAATCATGAATACGTCAGATGTCCCGTGCGACAGCCTGCTTCCATGGACGAGCGGTAAAAAGCTTTCGTTTGATCAATTAACGATTTAGACATACAAAGCGATTCCTAATTCGCGACAGTTCATAAACCTTCGATATATTCTCCGATAGATTCTCAAAAAAATTTAATCGAACTCCTTAATAATGCGAATCCATTCTGCGAGAGCAAATATCTCTCTAATTTAAGAACAGCACCCGCGACATCTATTACAAAATGCATTCTCTCGTAAATTTACAATAGACGTTCAATAATTATACCCTCCAAGCACTTCCCTGAAAGCTGTCCATCATAAATATATTATACGAATGACACTGTCTCATTCTACAAATATCTCCTCTGTTAAAGAATAACGATCTAATCATATACTAAACTTATATACTTATATGAGAACAATAATATCATTGTATCCATGCTCACATAACGATGCCTTATTTAAGTATTTTTGAAGGTTCTGTTTATAGAAGACCTGAATTTATAAAGAGAATACTGTGCAAAGCGCAGAATAAATTTCTGATATAGACACAAAATTCCAATCATATTTCTCTATCGTTTTGCATATATTAATTTAAAAAAATAGAGTTAAAATTTTGAGATATTTAATATATTTAATTTAGAAGCACTAATTTAATATCTAAAATAAATTCTAAATATTCTAACTTCATATCGAATACATCCATCTATTTTTTTTTAATAGTTTTGCATAAATCATGCGAATAATTAATTCCCGCAGGTGTTATCGACGATCATACGAATTCGATGCCACTCGTCCACTACGGTATCATCACTATCACCGACGTACGGACGCCGATCGCCATTCGAAGAGCTGCGACTATGCAAAGCAGAGAACCACCACAGAGTCGAGCATCGAGGTACAACACTTTGGTCTACCAATCCTCAGCGTGAGTGAACCGAGTCCACCGGATGAGAGCGAACGCGTTGATGACTATTTGTAGGACTTGCTTGCCGAGGACTTCCTCAAGGAACTCCTCGTGTAATCCCCTAGCTAATCTTCTCATCCCGATCCGAAACGAGTCGTGAATTACGTCGCCCGGACATTTTACCCTCCCTCGAACATTCGCTATATCATCAATGTATAGCAATCGTTCTGCGATAATATATATACACTACACATTGCGTTCTTCAGGAGATCGTAATCGAAGTAAAGTATAAAGCGAGAGCGAGAATTTTCCGATCGCAAACGATCTTCTCTATCTCTATTCGTTATAAACGATACTCTTTCATGCGTACTATTTTAGAGGAGTTCAGAGATCATAAATATATATTTGCTACTTGTATGATAGAAACCACGCAGCTACGAGAAATATTTGCATTTGATCCGGATTTATTTCTCGGTACTGTGTGTTAGGAATCAAACAATGATAATACCAATTACTTCTTGACATCGTCACTTTGTGCTCATTAAAATGTATTTTTTCTAATATTTCTGAAAAACTTTCTAGTGAATTATATATACATATATGTCAGAAAATAATGTCTCTATAGCTTTTACAATATACCGAGAAAAAAGTCTGGATCAAATTTGATTATCTTTCGTATCATATATTTCTAAAAAGTGGCTTGGTGAATAATTTCGACACCTCTATTATTATTACTTCGATATCCCTAATATTATTAATTTGTATTAATATTAATTATAGATTAATATTAATTTGACAGAATTTGCCCTATCTCACTTTGAAATGAGTCTTAAAAATTATAATCTTTGCTTCATATTTTTTCTCACAATATAATATTTTAATATCTTATAAATCTTTTGATGTAGCGTGCAATATTAAGAGTTATGAATGTCATTTTAAATTTGCTTACTCATAGGCTTATATAGTTACGATTTTCCTATATGCAAGTGCGTAATAATATGTATAAATTTCCTTCCATTTTCGTTGATTTTCACAACGCATTTTCTTGTCTCTGTGCATAAGAATGACATTTTCTCTTTTATGTGCTCGCTATTATCGAGATATATCAAGATCCAAATTTTTTCAGTTTTAATTGCAATTTGAAGTTATACAAATCATTTTTATTTAATATTGAAGTCATTGAAATATGTATTAAAAAACAGATGTTCATTTTCATTATGCTTCAACGCGTCTAAATATTCCCACAAACTCTATAAAGTCGTGTCACAAAATATTTTATGAGAAATTATGTGAGAAATATTATTATCAATCAAACGCGAATCATTATATAACTTGGCAATAAATGTAGCAATTTAATTAGTAAATATGAAACAGATATCACCGCAATTATATATTGTATACATATATATGTATATTGAGGTAACATCTGTTCGAATCTGAGTCCGAGTTATACATGTCTGTATTTATTAATATAGATCGTGTCCTAACGTGTTCACAGAAAATACATAAACAAAAGTAGACATATAACATATTTTATTATTCAAAATATCATTCAAAATCTACTAAAGGTAAATGGCATGTGATAAAAATAATGGAGAACCATTAAAAAATATTAAGCATTTCTATTTGATCGAAGCCTACATGGGCCAAAATGTCTGTGATACGCACATGTTTAGCCTGTGATAAGCTCGACGTCTCAAAATGTTCCAAGTTAAATGATCAACTTGATAGGGCATATATTACTTGTTTGATCTTCTTAATAGTCAAAATAAATGTGCAATCGTGAGTATTCGAAATTATGCGCCTCGACCACTTGCAACATAATATCACTGTACAGGAATTATATCGTGATATATATAGGACGTCTTGAATCAGCTACAGTTCTTCTATCGTTATAAGAAAAAGTGTGACTGATCAAAAGCACCTTCTGTACGTGTCAGACGCGATAGAAACCGATTTATTTTCACATTATATATCTCTTCCAAACAACTTTAAGACTTGCGTGTGCGAATATTTTCAACGCATTGATGCCTGAAAATTCGAGTTACATTTTAATTCTTTGCGATGAAAAATATATCGACATGTATATATATTATATATGAGGAAAAAAGATAAAAAAGACTAAATATGAAGAAAAATTATTTAATGATGTTGCTAGAATTTGCAATAGCAAGTTTATTTCTAAGAAAATGTGCTATTTTCCATAAGTAATTAGATCAGTTGATTAGAATTTAAATTGATAAAGAGAACAAATTAAGCAAAGACTTAGAAAATAATCGCTACTTTCAGGTATCTTGCGCAATTATAAACTTCAAAACGCACGCGAAAATGCGTTTCTTGATATGGGACCTAATCGCGACTAAATCGCGAGACTCCCTGTTTCCAGAAGATATCGAAGAGAAAAAAATTTCCCCTCGGCAATCGGCTTATCGCTTATCAGGGTTCATCGTAACGTGGGAACAATACAGATTGTGTAATAATACGTGCGACAAATTTTCGTGCTGAGTTATCAAAAGCATCCTATATAATACAACGCCTTATCAGTCGATTAGAAAGCCGTGTGGCTTTTTTCAATAACGATTCACCGCTGTCACGAGTCTCATATGCCCCATTGCTCTTCCCTCAACTTCATATTTTTGGACCAATCGTTATAAAAAGGAAAAGGGGCCATTATAAAATCCATAAGAATTGACATTACAGGAAAATATACAATTGAGAAAATATATGGCCAAGGCTACATTACACATTGAACGCAGATAAAATGATTGGTATTATTTAATGATAAATATTATAATTATACGAATAAAATGATATCAATATTAATTATAGTTTAAAATATCATAAATTGTGATTTAAAAGAAAATTAGATATTTATCGCTTTTTATTTATTAGAAATCGAAATATTATTTTAGTATCTCAATGATAGAGTATTTCAATATAATACTTTTTTATTTAGATAACAATTTAATCTTTAACCATATCATGTAACGGGACTGATTTTTAGATACACATTATAGCATTATTTGTATTTACAAAATAAGCAAAGATATATATTTCAAATGGTATTTCCCTCTCTCATCTTTATCTATACATATCTTTATCATCCAAATATAATTTTATTTTTTAATATTTTAAATTCTTGATATCATTTTTGATATGCGAGTGAATTATGAACTGCAAAATTTGGGGACCAATCGAATGAAATCATATATATATTTGGAAAAATATATTCACATGAACATTTTGCATAAGATTTTTGCACATTACATTGTAAATTGCGAAAATTATTTTTCTTACAATTAGTGTATCACCATTAATAAATTCCTCACGAATATACATATGTATAATAGTATTATACATATTGATATTGATCATTATATATTGATTAATTTTTACTTTCAACTTTTCAACTTTTTGAAATTGAACAAATCTAATGTGAGGATATAAATATATTATATTATACCTATTCAGTTAATCTTTCATAGATACACATATAGATATCCATATACACACACTTTTTATAATTAGCTTATTTATTGATATACTAATATTAAATCAGAATTTTTCATCTGTAATTATATTATAATATACCTAAATGTTAAAAATAATAACATTTTAATGTGTATAATTTTAATATATTTAATTTTGATATATTTTAATTTTAATATTATTTAATTACACGAATACTATATGTAATATAAAAATTTATTTCTAAAACTTGGATTTTTGAAGCACTGAATCAGTGGTAAAATAAAGTTGAAGATTTCTTTTTGCTATAATAATAATATGATATTCTACAAATGTGTGTGAATTATTATTTCAGATAAATTTTGTAGAACTTATTATTATATATAAAAAAGTCAAACTAATTCATTAATCTCTTTATTATTACAACTTTGCGTAGTATTAAATCATGTTATGCACCTTTCGTCCATAGAAATAAAATGTATATTTACTTATTTTTTTTTTTTTTTAATTACAGCGCATCAGAAATATATTAAAAGAATATTTTGTTATAACAAACTTCCCGAAATTATTCTTACCACTTCAATGTATGTGTCATTAAAGTAAATGTTTATTTACTGAAATTAAAAACTAATATTTGATATTAGACAATCTTCAAATTTTAATATGATATAAATCTCCAATATATATAATTCCTCAATATTTAGTGCTCTTTTTCTCAATTTTACATATAATACTCTGTGAGCAGATAATCCAGGTTGCCTTTAGATCTTGGGGCGCGAAAACTGTCGCACGTATTAAACTACAATGGACGAGTAAATTATACGACGAGCGCATTTATACACTATTCATAATAGCAACTGCTTAAGAAAATCGATATCTTAGATCTCTCGCGATCTTTCATCTAGATTATCACGCATTCTGTTCATTATCTCGTCCATTGATAGACCGCGATCAAGCGGCTTTTACGTTCCTTTCTCTCGTAATACGCGTGTAAATATCCACGACCAATATACATAATTAAAATATGTATAAGAATTAAATTTACGTACGGAATCCTTTTAAATCTTAGAACACGTTTCAGAATTTAAGACCACAGCCATACACGACAGAGATGTTTGATTTTTATTCTACTCGATACTTGCATATCAGATGACACAGTGCGAGTAATATATGATTTTTTAAAAATGTTATTCTCTAAATTACATTATACGTATAATTTTTAATAAGTTAAATATGAAATAATGTCGCGGAGGATAATTGCATATTGTCGTTCGAGTGTATACGAAAGATAAAGTTTACATCTTTTTGCGCCCTGTCAGCTCGAAAATTAGACTAACAAATCTTATTAGCAGTCACTTTTAATTTACAAATCATAATTTTGTCAAACATGAAAAACAATGATGACTTTTAATGCTGCGTGGTAGAAAAAAAGAAGCTATTGTCTCTAATGACTATAATTTGCATAATCGCATAATCTCTCGCACAAAATTTTGTGTTGAAAAGGCAATGTATAGGGCGTATCCAATAAATATATACATATAAAGACTCGAAACTAACGGCTCTGATGGCCGCCTAAGATTTGTATATCACGAATATCTATACATAAACGCATACATATATTTATGCGCGTATATGACAAATACTTCATATTACAAGCTAATCGACGAAAGAGTGATGTAATGCTTTAAATCTCACAACCAAATATTGTTTTTATGAAAAATTATATAAATACTAAAAGCTCATGCTGAGATCCATTTATGCGCCAAAGTATTTAATTAAGCGTTTGCGCGTTTAACGCTTTCCATGTGCTTTCAGTTCATTTTTTCTCAACTGTATATGTATGTACATATATGAAAAATTTGTTTTAATTTATTTTAATTTATTTAAATAAATACACATACAATAAAATTCATAATTTGCTTTAAATATAAAGATATAATGATTAATTTATTAAAAACTATCCCAAAACAAGAATTATTTATACTAATTTAAATATATTTGTATAATAAATATATACAATAATAGCTAATTAAATAATATATAAAATCAAGCATAAATAATTAAAATATTAATGGCAGCTTTTTTTGGATATTATAGACCTACATTTTCTTTTTCTTGATTAGATATACACATGAAATGCTTGAATAATGAACAGAGAGTCTACCATTAAATACATATTAATAGCTAGTACAGTATATACAGATTCTCTATAAACAATTTTATACAACGAAATATAAATTATTATTCAATAAAATATTTAGGTAAAATATTTTAATAATATATTATTAATAATTAATAAATAGATTGCAATATAATATGGATCAAAGCATGAGTTACATGTGCATACGTGCGCGCAAGCACACGCGTTTGTCCGCGCGAAGAAACTAAAGGATTTCAATTACCTCCAGACATTGATAATTATAGCTTTAAATGACGAGACCAAATAATTAAAAAAAATTCATATTCTCTTACGAAAAAGGCAGTTTTAGAAAGACGCAAATTAAGCAATTTTACAAAGAAAAAATATCCGTCTATTATTATTATTACTTCTATATGTATGTATGTATGTACTATGTATATATACATACATATATAATAAATATATATATGTAACAATGATATATATATATACGTATATTTGTATGTAGAGATTAGAATTCTGATCATATTGATCTAAATTTAGATCAATGATATATCAAGCGAGTATATTCGATCGATCGAGGGTGCGAATGAATAAGAAGCTCTGTGTATTTACTTGGATAAATTTTATCTAATCCCATATAATCAAAACTCCGAGTGTGAATAATAATAAGAGATAATACTCTAGCAGCAAGTAATTAGCAGCCATTATGTAATGAATATTACAATCTAACCATTATCAAATAAGTATTAGTATGTGAGAGTTATAGTAACACTATATCAATTTTCAATGATTGTTCTCAAATCAGAAAGATAAAAATATTCAAACAATTGAGAGAGATCTTATGTTCCATACAAAAAAAATAAATATTATTTTTAGCAGATTTTTATACATATGAAGCAGTTTTCTTAATAAAGTTACGCGTTAATCATCACATCTCGCGATTCTTAATTATTGGATCTTTATGTACATACGCACCCTTTATCATCGACACATGTCCATATGGACTAAGGACCTTATCAAATATAATAGAATGTGATCAACGACGATTACTATGATCACGCGACAACGATACTCTTGACTTTTCCTTTCCTTGATGAAATAACGCGACAGAGAATATGCATAACTTAATTTTACATTTATCTAATTCGATGTATATCTGGATGTAAATATCTCTATATTCTGCGGAATACTAAAATTGAAATCGTTATCCGCAATCTCGCTTATAACTGAGGAAACAAACAAAATCAGTGTAATAAATTGTGAAATTATAAATATAGAGTTGAAATCTGTCAATTCATAACATTATAAATTCTAAACCTGTGATTTATCGATTTAACTTTAGAATATAGCTTAAAGCTTCTGATAGAATGGCAGATGTATGATATATGCGATCTTTGCGATATATGCGACTCTACATACGATACGTACATTCTCGATTCTCAGAACATATCGTATTGCACGCTCCGCTGTAATTAAAAAAAAACAGAAACGTCCTAGACCCGATTATTAATCCTTAATCAGTATGATAAAATCATATATGATGAATTCAATATGATGAATTCATGGGTTCGCAGAATTGATTTTTAAATCTCGGCAGTGCGATTCTAAAAAATTATTCAATGATTCAGTTTTTGTATAAAATGGCTATTAGAAAAGTAAAATATTTTTATAGACCAAAACTTATTATTTATTTTAATCTTATAAATTCATATAATAAATAGAAAAAAATTTGAGATTATATATATTACGCTATTGAAAGATTATATTTAATCAATTAGATTTTTTACAATCTCCCTGATAGATAATAATTGAAAGCTTTAGAAAGCAAATATATTTTTAAATTAAAGAAAATAGTAGCACACACAAATATATATATATATATATATATATATATATTCCAGTAATTAGCGTAACATATCTGCAGCTTGCCGCTGCTATTTTGTAAGTAAATAGTTCACTTTTAGAATTATTCGCTTAAGAACCCATTTATGTGCTGGTTAAGGATTAAAATATATTTTTTCAAACTGTTATAATTAAAAATGTGAGTGTGCATGTGCAATTTCAACGTTAAATATTATGAGAGGATAAAAAACACGATATGGTGATATAATGGAGAGAGTGGAAATATTTTATTTATATTAAAATCTTCGCAGCCGATCTTTCTTGTAGATAACCCAAATGGGACTAACCTTTTTATTGAATAAAGTCTATCACACACCTATACCAAGTTGATTTAATTAAAGATTGAAAAAAATATAATTTTTTAAAATTTAATTGTTTCGTAACCATCATATAAGTATGTTAATCTTGTTAATAATATAAAATTTTTTTCATATTTTTACACGGAAAGAATTTTCTTTTAGAATTTATCATTTATCCTAAAAGTCATGATAATCGTGGGACAATATGGTATTGGAAAAATTTTATAAGAGTTCTGATTAATATATTTACCATAATAAAAAATATTAATATCTACCATAATAAGATATAAAATATGTTCGATTTTTACTATATTTTAGTACCCTAGTACCGTTTCCCGCGACATACAACAATTTTATTAAATAAAACTTTTTAAAATCAAACGTTTATAAAATATTTTCTGTGAATTTGTTTCCGGTTTTTGCAGTTAATTCGTTGCAATATTTTATCAATGAAGTATATATATAAAAAATTAAAGAGATCAACAGACCTTCGATTCAATTTATGCTGTTGTTTGACTGATATAATTAAATATGAGATTTTGTATCATATTTGTTGCGTTTTTGCTAGTAGAAACTTGCAATGAAAATTTTTCATAAAATTTATTCTCGACAAAATTAGCTATCAAAATAATCAGCGAGATGATCTGCTATACACTATTCAAAACAAAATTGACATTATTGATTACAGTCTCATTATTATAAATAGATATTTCGAAAGACAAATATTTTCTTATTTTCGATAAGTTATTTTTATTGATTGCTTCAAGGACTATGTAAAATAAACTAAAACATTGTCAGACAATAAATGATTGACACCAAACATACAAACGAACATACGAACAGTATAAATCTTGCTATACGACTATCACATAAGAACGCAATAAGATTTCAAAAGAAGCTAAAATGAGTTATACATTTCTCATTGTATTTGGTATGTATCATAATGTATATTTTTTGCGAAATATACAACTTACATTTAAAAAAATTTGTATTAAATAAATTTTAATAAAAAATTTTGACCTAATTAATATATGCATATGTATATCTAAAAAAATATCGACAATTTTAATGTAATATATTTTCGAAGTTCGCACTATCATAATTGAAATAGAAATTAAGTCTATTTCGTTTTAAATGCTGTATCTCAAAAAAGATATATAATATTTTTTTATAATTTTAAAAAGAGATTTGATTTCTATTCCAATTGTTTCCATTCTGATGCGCACTTTGAAAAAATACTATACCGTTAAGACTATTAATATGAGATATTTTTTTGTAAACAACATTAAAAATACAATTTTACAAAAATCAATTTTTTTTAATCCATATGTAAATAAAACTTCTAAATGTTCTCTATTAGAAAATATTTTACTTTTCCTTCTCTCTATATGCATTTAAAAAATAACTAATTGGTTTGAGTAACTTCCGTAAGACATAATGTTTGTATGTATATTTTGTTAATAGTACATCTCTTATATGTACAAAATTGACTTTTATCTCTTATAATTCTTATATAAATATTACATTTTTAATGATTCTATTATAATTATTGATACAGTAGGTGCCAAAGAAGAATTGGAACACCATTCTTCGTTAATAAAAGAGAATATATTATGCATAGAAGGAGAGATAGTGGATGTTCATTATGTATCATATGATACACATGAATTAATGGTAATTATAAATTATAAAATATTTCAAATACTTTTTGTATTGTTAATATTACAATTTTAATATTGATATGAAATGCAGGCATATGTAATCTCTTCATGCGATAAGAATAAAGCAAACTGTATTGTTATAATTGGTCACAGTACATTTGCCACTGATATTACAATTGTATCTTCGGCATGTAAAAAATCAGTGAGCATATTTATAAAACTAGTTTTGAAAAACTATTACCAGTTATTTCAGACCTAAACAAAAAATTACAAATCATTAATCCTCAGTAAGATTTTATTTTTTATATTTTTATTTATCCAACAATTTATAAAATTACTCATTGTCATAAGTACCTGCATAATATATAATATATTTTCAGAGCTGTATGTGGAATACGAAATAAGACACTTATTCTTAATATGTTTGGCCAATGTTTAAATGCAAGCATATGTTTGCAAACCATTGGAATTAAAGAGAGCATATTTAAAATATTTAGTTCAATACGAACTGCGCAGAAAGAGAGAGAGAAGGACGCTACTAATAATAATAAATCTCCATGCGATACACCTATGAATTCTCTGGTAAAAGTACATCCTATATTGAGAATTAAGTAAAAATTTCATAATAAAGATTATATAAAATTGCAATAAAATCTCCTTATAAAATCTCCAGATAAAAATCAAGCATATAATAGACGTATATAAAAAAACCTCACATGCCTTAATTTCTACATTAGAAGCAGAAAAAATAATACATAAAACGGTAATCCAAAACAATGATATTATAGAGTTTGAATGTGTGAGTGTGCATAATGCTTATGGCAGAATATTATTCGAATATATATATTCCAAATATAACGTGCCATCATTTCGAACTTCTGCCAAACATGGTTATGCAATAAAGGCAAATGATGGAACAAACATAAAGAACGTACTAGAAGAAGGAACAGTAAGTGATTAATAAGTATTTTATATATGTACATCATGAACTAGAGCTATAAGATAAAACTGTTTTAGTCCTCTATAGAACCTGGTACATGTGTATTGATAAAACCTAAAGCATCTATTCCCGATGGTAAACAATTGTTATTGTAAATTACATTTATCTGCTTATAATAAAAAATATTATTAATATTATTTCTTTATTCGATTGTAGGAGCAACAGCAGTTGTACAACTCGAGTATACAGAAAAAATAATAAAAGAATGTAGAAATAGTAATATTGATGATATTGAGGAAGAAATAAAAATAAGAATTCAACCAAAAGAAGGAGAAAATATTAGGTAAAAAGGACTTAATATATTTCATTTATTTAGATTTTATCACTAGATTTATTGTCTATTTATTTGTTTAATTTTTGAAGACCTATTGGTTTTGAGATAAAAAAAGGAGAACGCATTTTGGAGAAATATTCACGTATTGGACCAGCAGAAATAGGACTTTTGTCATATTGTGGTATCACTGAAGTTATAGTCATTAAGCAAAAACTCGTTGGTATATTATCTATTGGAGATGAATTAGAAGAACCTGGGGAAATTTTAGGATTAAATTATAACTATGACAGTAGCGGACTAATTTTAATCACATTATTAAAACAGCAAGATTTCGATATTTTAGATTTCGGAATTACAAATGATAAGTGAGTATATTAAAATTTATTTTAATTCTTAATGTAACTATAATACACGATATTTTTAAATTAACGAATAACGAATATTTTTATTATTCTATTATATATAATTTAATTAATCAATATTATGAAACATTATAAATATTTTTGTAGTGTGGAAAGCATAATATCCAAAATCGAGACAGCTTTAGAAAAAGTAGATGTACTTGTGATAATAGGCTCTGCGAATGATAGAGATTTATTAAAGCCCGTTTTACAAGGATATTTTAATGCCACTATACATTTTGGTATATTTTTCTTCTTATTAAAAATTATCAGATTATTAAGAGACATTTTTCTTAGAATATTTTATACTTTCTTTCAGGTGGCGTAAATATGTCACCAGGAAAATCAACAACATATGCAACGTGCACGTTCAAAGACACAAAGAAATATTTTTTATGTTTCTCAAGAAATCCGACAATCGTTCCCATTGTTACACATTTATTTCTTTTACCTCTTCTGAACAATTTACGCTGCTTTGAGAAATCATCGCCTTTAGTGCAAGCTCGCGTAAGATTGTTTTCATATACCTCGAAATAAAACGAGATAGACAATGTGCATATTATATTGCTACGATATTGTTATAACATTGTAGGTACAAACATCGCCCATTCTTCATTCGCGTCCTAAATATATTTGGACATCTTTAAAATGGAACAATAAGGATAAATACGCAAGGATTTACGACACGGCAAATTATAATCATAATGCGAATGCACTTTTAAGATTGCCACCGCGTACAGTGGAAGAGTCAAAATTACCTGACTCATATATAACAGCAGTATTTCATGGTTCAAATTAATTTTTCCAAAATATTTTTCATCGAATTCCAATGAGTTTGCGTATATTTTTACATATCAAAATATTTGTATCTTTGAAAACTTGTATAAAATAATTATTGTGTAAAAAGAACTAGTACACATCTTTTACAAAAAATTGAATATATATATCTATATAGACGTAGTATTGTTTCAAATTTCAAATAAATTCTTTAGCAAAAATATCGAATTTATCATTTGTTTTAACCTAAAAAAAAAGTTTTATAGTTTCATATATTAGTCATCAAATAAACATTCTATTAAAAAGAAAGTAATTATTTAAAATAGGAGAGTCCGCGCGCAAGTAATAATTTATTTTTAGTTATTTATTTTTCTTCTCAAATTTAATTTGTAAGAAAACTATCACTTTAAAATAATTTATATTTTGCGAATTATTATGTGTATTTTCAAATTATTTTACTAAATTAACTTTTAGAAGAATTATTGAATTTGAGAAAAAATATAACATTATACTTATTTTGCATATTATGCAATATGGTGGTAGTAATTATTAGACTCGATTAATCAGTCATCAACAATAAATGAAATTGGAAGTAATGATCGATAAAGAGAGATTTAACTTTTACAATATAATCAAATCTTATTATTGATTACTATACACACACGCACGCGATCTTGCATCGATTTAATTTATCATTTTGTTAATATTTTATTCACGGTTTCCTCCATTTGCTTGCTTTTAAATACCATAAATACCAAAAATATTTCCTCTATTTTTATTGTTTTGAAATATCATAAAATATTGATTAATAGATTTTACTCGACTTCTATTATAAATATGCCAACATAATTCAATATGACAGATTTTATATATTTGTCATATTTTTGCTAGTAAAATCTGTAACCGATGCTTTACAAAATCTGCTCTCGACAGAATTAGTTATAAGAATCATAAACGAAATAATGTGCTACGCGATACATATACGAAAATAAAACAGTTTTGAAAAAACTTTGAAAAAAAAAAAAATAAACAATATATGATCGAAAATAATATCACTATTTCTGTTGATTATTACAAAAACTAAAGCAAAATAAACTCTGACGGATATTTGAAACACACATATTAGAGATTAGAACAGTAAAGACCTTACAACGTGATTATTACATTGGAATACAATAAGATATTAAAGTGTCTAAAAATGTCACTTCTCTCTCGCATTGTAATTGGTATGTACTGACATATTTTTCTTATGGAATATACTATTATATACCAATATATATATATATATTTTTAAATATATATAGTATATATATTCAATAAGAAAAAAATTAATATTATATTATATATAAAATATAATATATTAATAAAATTTATTTTGATAAAATATTTCAAGAAATATCTTTAATTGCATATACATTGGGAATATATAATTTTACATTTTATATATACGTTTCTCCAATTATTAATAATTTTAATGTGTAATATTACATTTTATTATATGTTTTACTTATATATAGTAAACAATTTAGACGAATGTATTCCCCAAAGAACATCTGTAATTAAGAAAACAGATGAAAGTGATGTCATATATCTGTTACATAATAAAGATGCAATAATGGTAACTATAAATATTTTAAATATTTTTTGTTATATTGTATTATTATATATATTTGTATTATTAAATAGAAATTATAATTTATCATATTTACATAATATAGAAATATTTAATTAAGTCAAGCGATGAAAATGAAGTTGATATTATTATCGTTATTAGTGACACTGACTCTCCTCTTATACTTGATTCAATTAAAAAAGTTATCAATAGAAAAGTTGCTGAAAATATCGCCACAGTTGTATTACAACTAGAACAAAAATTAAGAAATATAATTGATGGGTAAAGTTTTATTTTCATTTATTTTATAGTTTTAATTATGGAGCACTACTTAAAGACATACTTAATTATATAATGTATAATTTTTAGAGTTATATGTGGAATACGACATAAAACGCTTATTATTAAAATGTGTTGCTCATTTAAAATCGCAATAAAATGTATAGAAAAATGTGAAGCACTGATATTAGAAATATTTAAATTAATCACAAAGAGAAATGATTATACCAGTATATTTTTTCTGAATAATAATAATATACAAGTACGACAAAGTATTTTCTCTGTGATAAAAATATAAAAATAATACATATAAATATATTAAAATAATAGTTTCATGAGATATAATGCAATATAAGATTTATATATATATATATATATATATATATATATATATATATATACACATATATGTATAATAAATCATTAAATTTCTTTATACAGAAATACATAAAAATGGAAGCTAATCACACCAAAAAATCTTATGTTAGCGTAACAGAAGCACAGAAACTAATACGTAACGTAATAATTCAAAGTAATGAGGAAATAGAGTCGGAATGTGTAAGTGTACGCGATGCTTATGGCAGAATATTATTAGACGACATATATTCCAAATGTAACGTGCCATCGTTTAGGGCTTCTGCCAAACATGGTTATGCAATAAAGGCAAATGAAGAAACAAATAGAAAAAAGATATTAAAAGCAGGAACAGTAAGTTATAATAAGTGCTCTATATATATCATAAACTAAAACTATAAAATAAAACTGTTTCAGTCCTCATTGGAACCTAACACGTGCGTATGGGTAAAAACTGGAGCACCTATGCCTTGTGGTAAATAATTATAGCTGTAAATTATTTACTTGTTTACGATAAAAAATATCAATTTTTATATTTAATTGCAGGGGCGACAGCAGTTGTACAAATTAAAAATATAAGGATAATAAATAAAAAACGTAATAATACTATATAATACTATATAACATTGATAAAATTACAATAAGAAATTATTGTTAATTATTGTTTCTTTATTCAATTATAGATGACACAGTGCAATTGCATCGTGTTATATCATCTAACGACATTGAAAATTTAATACATAACAGTGATAATAATAGTATTGAGGAAGAAGAAAATACTGATAATATTGAAGAAGAAATCGAAATAATAATTCATCCAAAAGAAGGGGAAAATATGAGGTACAAAGCTTAATATATTTAATATATTTTTAAAATACATTATATTATCAGATCAATTCGTTCGTCTATTTATTTTTTATTTATTTGTGTATTTCTGAAGATTTACTGGTTCCGAAAGAAAGATTGGAGACAAAATTTTGAATAAATACACACGTATTGGACCACCGGAAATAGGACTTTTAGCATCTTGTGGTTGGAAAGAAGTTACAGTCATTAAACTCCCATCTATAGGCATATTGTCCATGGAAGATAAGTTAGAAGAACCCGGAAAGCCTTTAAGATCAAAACACGTTTATGATGGCAACAGATTGACTCTTATCACATTATTAAAACAGGAAGGTTTCAATGCTTTGGATTTCGGAATTATGAATTGCGTGTGGATGTGAGTGTGGCGAAATGTATTATTTATTATACCTGATACACATATACCATGTTATATTTTCACTTAATTTACGAATAATATATGTGTTATTCTATCATATAATTATATTTAATAATTATATTATATAATTATATTTAATAATAAAGTAACAATAATTAATAAAATAATTATTTTTGCAGGCCTAGCACATTATGTAAAATTACAGACATTTTAGACAAAATAAATGTGCTTGTAATAACTAGTAATACAAATGATAATGATAACATAAAGTTGCTTTTAGAGGAATGTTTTGAGGCTACTATACATTTTGGTATTTTTTTCTTAATTATTAGCATTAATACGTTAAAAGTGCGTTTCTTAAAGTTGTTATATATTGTTTCACAGATTGTGTAAACGTAAAACCCGGAAAATCAACAATATATGCAACCTGCAAGTTGAACAACAGACAGAAATATTTCTTCCATTTATCGGGAAATCCGGCAAACGTTCTCACTGTTGCACATTTATTTCTTTTACCCTTTTTGAACCAGATGCGTCGCAATATATCGCCCGTCATAATACCTACTTGTGTAAGATTGTCTTCAATATCACCACGGAATAAAAAAAGAGATATATGATATACGTTGTTATAATGTTGTTATAACGTTGCAGCTAATGAATGCATATACGAAGCCTTCGCGTCCTAGTTTTATATGGACACATTTAAAATGGGACCCGGAAGAGAGAGATACATTTCCAAGGGCTTACATCGTGAAAACTCTAAGTCTATTTAAGTCTCATAAAGCTAATGCACTCTTAATGCTACCAGCAATTTTTGATTCGGAAATATCACTCCGACCGGGTACATTTGTACCAGCATTATTTCTTGATTCTAAATAATTCTGTCAAATTATTTCTAATTAAATTGAAAGCTTTCTGAGCGCAAAGACATATAAGACTATTATACAATAGTACTTATTATTTAATCCATTTTTTTCAAAAACTTCACTGTTTCACGATTAACTTTAGTATACATACTTTTAAACTAAATTTTTATTAAAAATTTTTTCAAATAAAGAAACAAGTAATATTACGAACGAAAAATATTACTTCTATTTTTATCCTTAAAAGTTATTTCACGAGAAGTATATCACTTCGAAATGATTTAAGTATATCTTCAAAATTGGTATGTTTCTACAATTCTGTTAATAAAAATCAGTTTTCTAAACAGACTTTAAATTTCAGAAGAAATAGCGCTATCTTATTTTGAATAAATTTAATTTCATTAAATGTTGTACTGTAAATTTAATACATATATATTACTGTATTGGAACTTTTATGGATGCATTTTAACATTGTATGAATATTTGATGTTTTTAAGTTTAAAATATTATGGTTTTATTTTAAAAACTATTATTTTAATTAATAGATACATTATTTTATGTGTGTGTAATAATGACATATGTTCGCACTGTAAATGTTTTAAATATAAATAATATTTATATAATTACTATATAATTATTTATATTATATAAATATAAATAATATTTTTAATTATTATAAATAATATTTAAAATTTATTATAAATAATATTTAAAATTATTAATATTATATAATATATATATTAAATAATATATATTATATATATAAATATAATAATATTTACATAATATTTATAATTTGGTAAACAGAGATTAATTAACTGTCAACAATAATTAAAATCAAATAATTGACAGATAAAAGAAAAATTCAATCTAACTTGATACCATATAGCGTCTAAAAATTAAATAAATTAATTGAATTAAATAAATTTTATTAATAGCAAAATATGTGTGTATCCGTGCGTGAACACATTGATATATATAATGTACTCATTATATGTATGTATAAAATAATATAATAAAGTATTTTATCAAGATATATATATATATATATATATATATATATATATATATAATATTTATTTTTCTATAAATAATAAATTTTTAATTATATTTCTAATTTATGTATAATTTATATCTTCTAATTTATAATTTATTATTTTCTATATATTTAATTTCTTGTATCTTTTCTGTGCTATAATATTAAAATTAACATTACTTGTATCTACATTTAATATAATTTGGTATACGTTGTTGACACAAGGTTAAATATTTGTACAATTAATTTAGATAATTCTTAGAGTGGCTAAAATAATAAATTACAAAATAAATTTAAAAAAAATTTTTAATTTTTTATACAAATTTTGTATCAGATCGTTATTTATGTATTATATTGTCAAATAGTTTTCTTTATTATTAGTTCTTTTCAAATACGTTCAAAATGTAAACAGACAATTAATATTTTCTTATACTGTTTTCTTATCTTGCAAATATTGTAGATAAATTAATTTTTATAAACAAAGTGTAAATTTTTAAATGTAAACTTTATTCTGTTTATGCACATATAAAAATATTAACTCTATATTGATAGATAATAACATTTATACACGCAGCTATTATTAATTTTCGATTATCTTTAATATTAAAAAAAAATTTGTCAGTTATTTCATAATCTATTTTCATCTTAAAATCTAAGGAAACAGGTTTGTTCCTTTCGGCTGAACTGGCTGCACTCATTCTTTCCAAAATGAAGTAAAAAAGATGAACTCTGAACTAGTGTAACCAGTTCAGTTGAAACGAACAGACCTATTAGAAGCAATTATATAATATATTAATAAGTTTTACTCTTTTGTTTTACTTTGTTATCAATAAGAGACTGAAAATAACTATCCAGTAAAGATAATGCTATTTATCTAAAGTTACTCATATTACTTATTTAAATTATAATGATATACATTGCAATTACAAAATAGTATAAAAATAAAATTAATATCTAATATAAAAATAATTATGTCTATAAAAATAATTGATCACTACATAAATATAGTAATGTTTCCACGTATGACAATAATAGTATTATGTTTATATGATAATGCAAATTGCTAATTATTAAATTAAATTAAGTTTATAATTAAACCTAAAAATCTAGATATATCTCAAATTATGCAATTTTGCACCGAATCATATTTGATTAATTTAAGAAATTCATTTATCTAATACGTATACATAATTTGCATAATATTAAATATAAAGTAGAATTATATATTGTATTATTTTTGCGCGTATGTATATACATATGTGTGTGTGTGTGTGTATACAGAGTGTCCCAGACCTATCACACGTTAATGGGAGATTCCTGAGGCGATTTGGAGACGATTTTTCCTCAGCGAAAATGTCGAGAAAGGTCATCATTTTTTCAATGTTCCTAATTTTTGGAATCATGTATCTTTGTAACTAAGCCTTAAATTAAAATTCTATTAAAGTAAACTTTACCTGAAATTAACTAAAAAATGTAGTTTTGTTAATAATTTATTTTTACAAGGCTTAGTTTACAAAAGCTTTTATTTAAATCATTTTTAACTCAAAAATTATTGGTACTGGACATTTTCCAGTTGAGGAAAAATCGTCTCCAAATCGCCTCAGGAATCTGCCATTAACGTGTTATACGGTAAGTCTGGGACACCCTGTATATATATATATACACACACACACACACATATGTAAAGATAAATAAAATAATTAAAAAATATACATATTCACAAGCTTGCTAAATAAGAATACGTAAATGCAACACATTTATGCAAATAAAAAAAGTATTGATCCATTAATTGTATTCGTACTTATCAAATTGATATTTTTGAGGTTGAATATTATAAATGAATTAAAAAATATTTTAGATGAATATTTTAGATAAATTAAAAATATGAACAAATTCTATATTTATAAATAAAATTTCAAATCTTACATATGCTCTTACATATAACTAATTCTGTTTCAAAACACTTTACTAAGATTAAAAACGATTTCCACTACTGAGAAATTGGTATTTACACTTTCCTCAAATTTTTATATCCGTAGTGAATTAAATATATACTAAAAAATTGCACATATAATTATGTAAGTTTATAAGTCCATAGATTTAAACATTTTTTTTTCACAGCCAAATTGTGAAAATATATATCTCTAAGATAATGTTAGCATATTATGTGTTAGCACATATATTTTGGATATAATTTCACAACTCTAATCTGTTTTTAAAAAAATGCATCTCAAAAATTTTGATAATATATTAATATTTAATTTGATGCTATACACATATACAATAGGTATGTACAAATCATGAATATGTGTACAGCAGCAGTTATTACACATATTAATATAATTTTTATTCATAACACAAATATTATTCATTATTGTACATTTTTCTGATCAGTATCTGATAGTAATATATTTGAATGAATAGTTTTTCCTCTATGCCTCCATAAATCTTGCTACTACATGTGCTTTCACTTAGTAAATCTTGACTGGAGCAAATATCATCAATCTCCAAATTTATTGAACTATTCGATATTTGACTGAGATCTGTACTCTCTGTCCCCAAACTTAGATCTACACGAGTCTGCTCATTTTTAGATTCTTGACTGTATTGTGAATCATCCAAGTTTATATCTCTTGAAAATTTGCTGTCACATTTATCTATAGAGTCATTATGTGCTAATTTTAAATCATGTAGAGATTCATTCTTGGATGTTTCACTTTTGCTTATGTCTTGTGAATTACTTAACTTATTGACTAGATTTATCCAAGGGTCTTCCAAAAAGGAATTTATATCTACGTATGCTGATATGTGTGCTTGCCTATGTATTCCTTTATAACCCTATAAATAAATATAAATATAAATATAAATATAAATATAAAATATAATATATATATATATATATATATATATGCTTTCCTATTAGTGACACAAGTTGACACAACATCATTCTATTTTTTTTTTTTTCAATATTCAGGAATAATAAAAGATAGAATGATAGCTTGTGTCAACTTGTCGCTAATAAAAGCACCCTATGCGTGTGCATTGTGTACATATATCGTACTACCAGAAATGCATTATTTAACAAAATCTTTTTAATCGATAGAGAATTTTACCTTTCTTTTTTGTCCGTGAAACTGATTGCCAGGATATTTGTAAGTAGAATACCGATTACTACAATTTGTTCTTGTAATAGGGTTATACTGATTCCTGTAATGGTACCATCCTCTACCTGGACTGGCACTATTGCGTCCCCTTCCAGGACTATATTGATTATTACGCTTTTCGTTCTGTGTCACTGGTGTGCTTACGTTTAAAGGAATAAAATTATCCCCGCAAGGTTGTGCCTCATTGTTAACAGAAAAACGCTGATAACTATTATTAGCAGATTGATAACCTTCGTTGTTCGCGTTTTCGTGTGATTTCCAATTATAGGGCGTATGCTTTGCATCGTATGTCCGACTACTAGGTGGAGTATTTAACGGGGATCTCTTCATTTCTTCGAAATTAATTATAATGTGTGATAATTACTATTACGACTATTTACACCGGAAAATGTAAACTTTGTAAAGTACAATGTATAACAGTCATAAACGGAATAAAATGTCAGTATTGTCGTCTCTCTCTCTCTTTAGACTGCGCAGTGTGTCCCTCTTTCGAGAAATTCGTAAATCAATTTTCATCATTTATTATGCTGATGAAAATATTTTTAACGATGAAAGAATGCAAAAAAAATCGGAACGATTGATTATAGACAATGATAAAAATATTGCTAATATCGAAATTGCGATAATAGCAAACAGTGAAAGAGTTTATAGCGTATGAACAAATAGTTACAGGGGAAAGGCATCAATACGTTTTCATTTTGGATTAGACAAGTCGCATATCGTGTCCAGATAATCACGAATCACAAGTGTGATTCTGACAAAGAAGAATCGGTCATTTTGTCACATACAAATGAGTTTGTGAGATCTTTGTTTGATCTGTTAAAAAATCCACATATTATTTTTTTATATAAAATTAACAGAACAGAATAAGTAATTTATTTTTTTATTTCCTACTCTGTGACAAAAGTACTATGATCACTTCTCAGAATATCAATAAAATGCGCGAATATCTCAATATACAATATATGCGATCCAGCTCGAAAATGCGAAAGTGAAAGATATCGACTTCTGCATTTATACATACATTTTGACGAATATCTTCATCATACGAGGTGATTATTTCTCACACTCGTCTTTTGACAATAATTTAATTATTTATAAAGTTGTGCATCTCAGACTATCGAAACGTTAACAAATAGCAATAATTATCGCAACAATTAAATATGTTATATTAGGCAGTTGCATCGTTCTTCTGAAGTAAATAATTACTCCAAAAAATCAAATCGATGCAATTAACAAGAAATCATCCTACCTTTGATGTGGACGATGCTCGTACGACTTTCCGACCAAGGCGAAGAAGCGATCTTGATCGATGCACATATATATAAACGCATATGGATGATTGAGATCCGATATCGGTGCAAATAAAACGTAAAACTTGCAAGTTACATTTCGTGCGAAAATGTTCACGACTCGCATGTGCGACACGCCACGACGAACGACACATTACGAGGCACTCCCGACACTTATTCGCGGATAAAATGCACTTTCGGGCAGTTTAAATCGCGAAAACTACGACAACGATTCGAAATGAGAGAGTCGAGCCAAGTATACAGCTATATCGGATAATAATTGTACTACGCGTGACGTTTCTCCAGAGCTCGCACTGATTGTCCGCTCCAGTTTTTGTCCACCAATGAGATTCACCGATCACTGCGACATCTATTGATGAAACATATACGTGAAAATGAACTCGATTTCGCGCCAAAATGATATCGTTTCGCGCCAAAATGGATACTAGAAGCAATCACGCGTACGATTGAGATCGACGATCTACGAACAATTTTTTGCGATTTTGATATTGAATGCGATCGCAAAAACGCTTGATACTTCACAAGACACTCGCGATAATCACGCGCAAGATTGATTTTTACGCGGTAATACGCGAAAACGACGTCGATCAAATGGATACCTAGATGAATCGCGCTCGCGATATCAACGAATAACAATTTCGCGGAATGAATGACACTTGTGTACAATATTCGACGCGAAAAGTGACATTTGGCAAGACACTCGCGATAATCACGGCACAATAACTTGCAAGAAATACGGAACGATTCGACTAGCGTCGCGACACACCGCCGTCCCGTGTCACTTTATTCCGCGAAAGAGAGCCGAGTTATTCAGGTGAGCCAATCGTCGCGCCTGCGCATGACGTCGCGTCCGAAGCGCGCGCTGATTGGTCGCTCCGGTTCTTGTCCACCAATAGGAACACGGGCGGAAACGAGTCTTGCCGCACGGAGGTTGGCGGCCCTGCTCCCGCATAACGAACGACGAAGAGACGCAGCAGCGGCGTCGTGTACTACGTGTGAGCCATTTTTTTTTAACGTAAGTCACGGGAGCGTCGTGTCGTGTATCGCGTTCGGAGAACGAGCGGGATCGACGACAATCGTGTATATACGATAATAGGCTTCTGCACGTTAATCTATTTATTTCAGTTACTTTTTGTCTTTTTTCCGCATTATGGACACGTCTGTCGGTTACCACGCTACTTCGGAGACGGCGGCGGCTGGAACGGTAATATCATTTCTATCAATTCTCCTTTTCTCCTTTCTTGTTGCTCCTTTCCTCCTTCTATCTTTCGCTCGCGGAATTAAATTTCTTTTCATCGCGTCACGGCAATCGAAACAATATTTCAATAAACTCTCTTTCTCTCTCCCCCTTCCCCCCTTACTCCATTTCCTCATCATCTTTCTCTTTCTTTCTACTAGGTAAACTGATGTATACAATTGTATCGCGTCGTTCGCGTGAAAGCCCCGAGGGGGATCAATAAATTGAACGATATCGGCGTCGCACGGCGACAGAAGCAATCGGTAACTTTTTCCACAAACAGCGGTTGGTAGCCTTCGTCGGCTCCTCTTCGCCTCGCGTTTTCACGAGAATACTCGGAATACACCGAGAACGGGGAGAGAGAGAGAGAGAGTGACTCGAGACTTTGACCGCCATTTCGCATCCGTCCTTTCTCTCGAACTAGGGGTTCCGTTGCTTTTCTTCTCCTAATTTTCCATTTATTTCGTCAAAACGGCGCACTTACACGTGAGTAATACTGTCGATCGGACAAAAAGCACGGATGGAATTTGGAAAAGCGATCGGCGGAACCGGTCGTGTTTCCTTAGTAAGGGTTTCTTTGCATCACGTGTTTTCGTTTCGCGATATAAATACTTGTATTTTAATACGGTCTTCTTTCGATCGTTGATCAGTGATGATCTATGACTTTTTGCGAAAAAATCGAGGTTGGATCCATGTGGCCTTGAAAAAGAACTTCGTTTCTATCTGCGCATTTCCTATTATTTATAGTTTCCTCAAGCTCTTCCATCTCCTAGTTCAGTATCTCTCTTGCTCTTAAAATTGAAAAACAATGCAGATATCTTTATTGATGTCATTAGAGATAATTATTTTTACACAGACGAGAATCGCTATTTTAATGTTGACATCTATTATGTAATGTAAAAATATAGCGTAAAGCTCAATTTTTACAGCATAAACAATAGTGATTATCTAAAAATTTTTATCTTGCATAATAAGATAAATTTATACAGTGGATAATATTTTTTTCATTATACGCATTGCAAGTTATGAAAAAATCTATTCTGTGTAAAAGAAAATCAAAATGACAGGAATTAAGATATTATTTAATACCTGTATTTTTGAAATAGTAATCTTGATGAATTATGTTCCAGAAGATGGTTTCATCTAATCAGCCGGTAAGATTATATAAATATTTTTTGTACTTTTTAGTCAACTAACTCTTAAATCAATTAACTATTATAAAAGCTATCGAGTTAATATTTTGCTAAGTTAAAAAATATTGAAATTAACATTCTTTGTTCATTTTGAAACTTAACATCTTATTGTTAATTTATGTTTATGACATAATGCTCAGCATATTTTACATTATTATAATTTTACATATTTTGTAAAATATTTGAAGATAGCTGAGCAATATAATAAATCTCAAACAGACACCATATCTTTTGTAATAGATATATGGTCGATTTTGAGAGACAAATATTAAATTATACTTGTATCAATATTGTATTTTAGTGTAAAAAAATGTATGACTAAATTTTATTATTTGAACTTACAGTACTTTTCATATATTTTTTTTGTTAAGGCTTCTTAGACAATATATAACTTATAAAACAATTTTGTAAATATTATATATCAGTATAAACGTATCAGGATATACATTAAAATATATAGAATATATGTTATATATAGAATTATATAAATAAAATTCTAGAAATCTTGAATTTTGTTATAAATTATAGATCTAAAAAGGCCTTAAAACATAATTATATTTTATTGCTATATATTCATTATCCTGTTCAATAAACAAAAGAGAAAACTAATTTTTTTTTACATTTTCTAGCGGAAAACAAAAATATTTGTGGGCCGGCTGCCAGAAAATTGTCGCAACGATGAATTGCGACAATTATTTTTGCGCTTTGGTGAGGTGACAGAATGCGACGTTATGAATCGATATGGTTTCGTCCACATGGCACGGGAAGAGGATGCAGCTGCGGCAATTAAAGCACTACACAATTCCAACTTCAAAGGAGCGACGATCAATGTGGAACAGTCAACCGGGAAGTCACGCGGAGGTGGAGGAGGACGCCGAGATGACCGAAGAGGTGGACCAATGAGAGGTGGTAGAGGAGGACGAGACGGTGGTAGAGACGCTCGTCCTGGACCATACAATGATAGAAGAGGTCAGTATAATTTGCGCATTGTTATTTGTAAATTCCGACAAAACTATTTTCTCATTTAATTTTTCTCAAGTATATATATGTGTATATATATATGTATGTTACATGTACATCTTGTCGCATATTTCTTTTTATTTATTATCGTTTCTGTTACCTCTCTCCTATCTTTCTCATATTGATAAGTGTCAAAGTAGGATTTGCTACCTTAAATTGACTTATCAACTTCTCCGAATGATGTAACATTCTATATTACAGAGTGCATTGAGAAAATAGTATGTTGGAATGAAATAAGAGTATAACTTTGACAATGTATATTTAAAAACCAATTCAATATCTCGGCGTGCTTTGCAGTTCTTCCGATCCAACTCGTTGGTTACGATGGATCTGCTGCAGGTGGCGTCGCAACCGGGTACACCGATTACAATCGTGGAGCTGGCGACTTTAGCGGCCGTGGGGCGGACTTTGGCACCGGCTATGCTGACCGCGGTGCTTACGGTCAGAACGTGGGTGGTGCAGCGATGGGCTACACTTCAACAGCGCCGGGAATGGGTGGCGGATATGGACCAGCTGCCGGCGCCGTGGGAGGCTACGGTCCTACCGGCGCGGCGGATTACGGACGAACAGCTGATTACGGTCGCGCTGACTTTGGTGCTAGAACAGACTATGGTAATCACGGTGCTGAGACATATTTGTACAATTTCGAAAGTATGTGAGAATTCACTTTATACATATACCGTACTGCCTATATATTTTATATGGAGCAGTTTTATAAAAACAATGATAAGACGAGAAAAATATAAATTTTCGGCTCTTCGTGTTGTCATTATATAGTGCATTATATATAAATATAAACATGAACAGACAGCTTTTTCAAGAATATCCAATTTTGAAATATTTGTATCATGAAAATATCTCTGTCTTAAATTTATTATTTGCATTTTAAAAGCTATTGTTGAGTTAAAGTTGTATTGTGTGATATTTATACATCTTGCATACACTTTTAATTGATATTCTATATTCTTTATTTAATTAATGCATGTTCCATTAAATTTTTTATTCTTAAAATAAAATCTCATGATAGATGAAACCAAAAAGATACACAAATTTTCCAAGTAAAATGCAGAATATTAATTTAATCTAAAATCTTAATACTTTCATTGTTTACAGTAGTTGGTGGTGGTATGGCCGGAGATTTTAATCGTGGCGCACCTGGTCCAGTAGATTATGGTCGTACCGATAATTTTGGTGCCAGTCGCACAGTTGATTATACCGCTAGAAATGATTATGACCGGAGTGCGACTGGACCAATGAGAAACGGTGGTGGTGCCGTTGCCACTACTGGGTACGGAACAGGGTACACTGATGTGGGATATGATGAAAGTCACTGGTAATGTTGCTATAATCTATTTTGGCTTTTTTCTTTAATTTTCGAGATTTTTTAAAATTAATTAGTTAATATTAAGCAATTTTTCAAATCAAAGCCTAAGAAGCTCATGATAATGTACTACATAAAGTATTGAATTTTTAATATCTAAAAGTCACTTTGCGGTTATTTTAATACTATTATTTTTAATCATAAAATTTAAAATATATTTAAATGGAAATTGAACATAATTGCAATTTTATTTATGAGTTTGGAAACATTTTTCACATATAATGTGAAACTTTAATTAAGTTAAGTGAGCTCAAGTCTTTAATAACTTAGATTTAATTAAATTTACGACTAACTTAATGCAGTGAAATGTAGATCATTCAATTATTAGCATTTTCTATTATTAATAAATAATTATATACTCTCATACAAGATTCATAAAATTAAATTAATTATTAGAATTATTTACATTGCACTGTATGACTTTATTCTTTTTTATTACAACAGCATTATTACACACATGTAAGAAAACTTTTTTACTTAAATTGAAAAATTTTTTTATACTACATATATATGCTTTGAATGTCAGCACTGAAAATTGTTATATATTCCTCTTGTTATATTTAATTAAAAGTACTAAAATCGAATTTTCAGTGTAGACATTAAGTTCGCTAGAAATATGGGTAGAAATATATTTTAAAAATTGGGAAAATAACAATTTATAATAAAATTTGCACAGTTTATATAAGCAGATTTTACAAATTTTCTTAAACTACTATTAAACTTCATTTTTATTCTAACCAAAACAAGCGACATATTGCAGCAATGCTTATGTAGTAATGTAATAATATTCTAAATGTCGCTTAGAATAGAGTGAAAATAAGTTAATAAAAATAAATTGTGCAACAGGGGTTATCCGGGTGGGCCAGGGAATATGATGGGGTTTGGGGGGTTAAATCAGGGAGCTACAATGGTCTATGAAAGAAGGGATGGTCTTCCCGGTAATGATATACCTCTATTTAACAGGCCCATGAGCACTGGACCTAGCTACAGCACTGGGGCACCTAGCTACAGCACTGGTCCAGGACCACAAGCTGATATGTTTAGTAGAAGACCTGGCAGTGCCGTTCCCAGTGGTGGATATCCACCAGTAGCTGGCGGGTAAGTAGCAAATTCGCTAATTGTTGAAAAAAGAAAAGGTTTGTTTTTCATATATGACTAATATGTCCATTATGTTGCAGTTATGCCGAGGGATATGACAGACCAGATGCATATGGTCCTCCACGTGGCGGCGGACGGTAAGTTGCACTCTATTAAGTTATATTTTTCATATATATTTCATCAAAGCTGCGACTATGAAAGTAACACATTAAACACACGTTGACGTTAAAAAAGCGAAGGGAATCAATATGCGTATGCTTATCAATCTAAGCGTCTCCACTCTTCTTTGCGTTACATCTCGTTCTTATCTCGATTATGTATAAACACATATGCAGTTTCTATGCGGATCGACACAGGTTAAATATTTCTGTAAAAGTATAAGGTGTGACACTTAGCGCGACACCCGGACACATATACGGAAGTGTACCTTCACCGTGTACGTGCTATTTTTGCGTAAACAAATCGTTGCTTCCATCGGCACACGTGTACAAGAAACCGACGTTTTTGATCTTATGAGTGTAAAAGAGAACAGAGGCTGTGAAAATCACCGTGAAAATCACTGAAAGCCCTGCAGACTTTAATTACTGCTTACAATTAATGAGATGTACATACATTATTATATATATTTATAATTCTTATTCACTTGTATATATTTTCTAAATTTATTCTAATTATAAATAATGCTTTGATTTGAATGTTTAAAACAAATATTGTGACAATGCAAGAAATTTGAAAAATAATACATATATATTTGAAAAAAATATCGATTTTCCTGAATAAATTTGATAAACTTTTCAAAATTAAAAACTAATTTTTTTATCGTATGTACACTCACATATAATTTAGTTGTTATCAATTTAGCTTTACATATATTGTATATCCGTGATACATCGCCTCTCTTCTTTTACGTACTCCACGATGAAAGTTCTCGTCTCGACGTCCAACCAAGATGCGCCATGCGATCACCCTGCGGCAATTTCGACAATGGCGAGATGCCATCGAGAGAAAAAAAGAATTTTTTTAACACAAAAATATATTTTCCGGATAACTGATTCTGACGAAATTCCGCGGGAATATCTCGAAAAGCGAAATCTTTCCGCAAACTTTTCTATCTCACGTCGCGAATATAAACCGATCTATCACGATATTATTATACACACTGCGCCTTTGCGCACCGCAAAAACTTTATTTAGCCTGCGAAAACTACAAACGCACATCCTTCGCATTTTGCTTCCCTCGCCTTTTGTCATTTGAGACACTTTTTTTCATTTACAATTCAACTCTGGTCTCCGAGAAACGACAAAGCGTTGCGTTGCGCCTATGAACGACGATCGAACGTCCGACAAAAGTCTCTCGACGACTTGAAACTCTTCTGCTTTCTACGCAAATACATTCCAAGTTTCCAAATGCACTTGCGACGGTGCCGAGAGATGATTGATTGCGGCGTATACCGATTGACTAGCTTCCTACACATGTATGACAGTTAATCAGAACTGGGTGTGAATTTTACTTTAGTCTGCTATTAAATCTGCCATCTTTTTCACAAAATCTCTATATTCTTGCTATATTTAATTTTTTCCATATTACAATCTTTTTTTTACATCTTTATATAATACGTTACTTTATCGTACAATAGTATATCAGATAATTGGCATATTAATTATCGAATAATTGACATATAATTAAATCTCTATATTTAACAATCTCAGTGAAGATTTTATTTAATTTTTCCTTGTAATATTACTTGAATAAATTTAGCACAACGCATGTAAGTCTACAAACTCAGTAATAGATAACACGAAAGACATATATATCTTACCCAGATCTGATAGCTGTATCTCTCAGCAAATGTGCGTTATATGCGCTGCGACGTGAAAAAAAACATCCAATATTTCCTTAACACCATATATCAAAACCCATACTGCTGTCAGATATTCGAATTCGCATCTGGACGCATTCCGCGCTGATCGCGCATGCCAGTGTTACATCTTATACTTTCTCCTTGCCCAGCAAGGCGATCACGTGATTAATTTTGCGATTTTTCATTTTCTGACCTTTTAGCTTCCCAGGTCCGGCAGACGCGATGCCACCAAGGTACTAAACGTATACTAAAGCAAACATGCTAGCGCATGCGAAAGGCAACCGTATAAACAAAATCATAAAAAAAATCACCGCCTTTAAAGCAGCGATCATTCGCTTATGGACTCGATTATCTAGGAACTGCCCTCTGCGTCCGACATTGAGTCCATATGATTATAATGAAAAAAGCTATACATAACTTATAATGTTTAATTCTATCATAAGATATGGTAAGGTAACATCATCAGTGGATGATATAATTTTGGTCAAAATTGAAAAAAAAATAATTCTTAATCATAATATGATATATTATTATGTTAGTCCATTTGTGTGTTTGAAAAGAATTTCTGGCATATTCATGTAGTTTGTTTATTTTTTTTCTTATTGTCTTTTTCTATGAATAAATAAAATCCAATGTTATCTAATGTGGGTCGAATATTTTCCTTAACTTAATTTTTTTAATGCCCACATTGTGTAGTATAGATAATTTTATTACACTTCTATATAGTTTTAATTCTTACAAGAGGTGACTTATATATAATAATGATACTGTACAATTTTTTTGAACACTTAAAAACTCGCAAATATTATATTTTAAATGTTCATTCATAAAGAGCAGAGAAACTTACATATATATATAATAACAGTTATCGTACACTTAATGTATCTTTATATAAAAAATAAAATGCAAATAAATGTAAGTAATCTTTATATAAAATCTTTAATAGTATGATACAATTATTTTTTTTAATCATTTTATACGTAACAAAATCGTCACAAAATTTTATTACTTATTAATTGTTAGAGTATGAAAAATATAATTTCATCAATAACATCTATTTTTATTTGTGTAATTTAGAAAAAAAAATATTTGTCTTGTTTCTATTTTTTTTTATTGTTGCACGATTTTTATTATTCGTATAAAAATTTTTATTCTTATACTGTTATGCAAAGCTGATTTAATTACTTCATAGAGAGATATCATTAAGTTACAGCGACATCAGATAGAATTCTAGTTGTCCATCTAACATATCTACTACTACCATTCGCAGAAGCGAAGAAATATCGTAATATCAGCGTGCGTTCTCTCAACTATGTTACTCAATGTTAATTCTTCATTCGATGTTGTGCATTGTAATCTTAAATTATTTTTAAACTAATTAATTTGATAGTAATTTAATATAAAACATGAAATTGAAAATTAGTTTATTACTATAAATGAATTAATGTAACGATACAGTTATAATATATATAATAATGAAGTAATATATAAAAAAATCTATCTGATAATAATATTTTAAAAGGTGAAAATTTTTGAAAAGAAGGACAAACTCATAGACATAGAAAGATCTTAGAGAACTCGATAACAATGCAAAACGTCAATCTCCAGCTGGTGCAGTTTACTTAGTTAGGTACTGTACTGAAACGTCGATTTGTGAATGCGTGCGGTGAACGCGCGTTTCCTTGGGGCGGCTTGTTGACCTGCGATTATTGAAGAAACCGATTACGACGATTACTCGCTATGCGTGGCTACCCGTAGATGCGACCCGATCGGCGAATAAACCAACCGCTGCGATATATGGATAATGCGCCACAAATTGCGTTTGCGCTCAAAGCTGGCGTGCTTTGAATTTGACCAAGAAGAAGGTATGTTCAACGGCGTGCGACTATTATAATACTTTATCTGTTGAGAAAAAAATGACCTAAGCGCCCATGGGCCCACTATATCAATGTTCTATAAGTGCGAATGGAGAATGTCCGGTCGAACAAAAAACGTAAAACTGTTAAACGAGAAAAGAGAAACAGAAGTTCGTCGATTACCGAAGCGCGTATAAAGAAAGCGGCCGCTTTTTTGTGATCTCACAATCAGTATTATGCACTACGATAGAAATGCATCTCTCGATTCTAATTCCGTCTCTTTGCTATATAGACTTATGAAGTAACTCTTATTATAATGTAATATCTAATTGTAGATGCGTCGATTTATTGTTTTATTAAGATAGATTTTTAAATTATTTGATAGTCAAGTTATTCTAAATGTTTCATATTTTTTGTTCTATCTAATCTTATTAGAATTGAATTACTTAATGTAATTAATTTCGATGTATATCTATTTTCTTAGAATTTTTTCTCACATTTGCTCTTTTATTATTGAGATATATATATATATTTCTACAAATTTCATAAATTCTGAAGCTATTATTTTATTGTACAAAATTAAATATCAGTTTATATTGATCTGCACAATTGGTACTGTTTTACGATATATTAAATTATATAAAATTGTTCTGATACGCATATAAGAAAAGTTCAAGAAATCTGACATTTTTTTTAACTTTTTAAATAATGAAGTAAATTAACTAAAATATGAATAAAATAGATAAATAAAATTTCCATTTTGCAATATATATCCAATCTTATTATACTTTCTATTATGTCGATACATTTATAAATATTTTATGAGATGGAATTAGAACAGTAAAAGGTAAAATGAATGCGATGCGTGAATTGGAAAAAATGCATAGTGTTGTTTTTTCGCACATTATCGCCGCAATTTGCGAATCGTTCATCTTAATATTCTACTGCCGCCGAAATTTTTAGAATAAATTCTTAAAAATTCCGCTCAATACATCCTTTCGCGATAAAACTAAGCGCCATTGTAAGATACGTTGTTACATCTTCTGAACAACTCGTACTTTAATGTTGATAGAAAAATGTCGCAGAAAAAAACATTCTCGAATTGTCGACCTGTACAACGCTCCTATTAACTATTCAATTGATATGCATTACATCTCATTAGAATTTATATTTTTAAAAAATGTACTTTCTCATTTTACGATATATTTGTCAATACAAAATACGTAATTTTTATTTGACGTCACGTTTAAGGTCGTTTAACAAGTTGTAAAATATTAATTTTTAAAGTGAAGTAACATACGAAAGTGTTACGTCATATTAATTAAAAAATAATTTCTACGAGCATTGACCCTTAGCTGGCGTTTATAGGGATAAGTGATAATATTATAAGTTAGTTTAAATGTTACATTAAGCCCACCATTAGTGGGATATGTTATATATGTTCTATATAATATTTTTTTTAATAGATTACAAACTGGATGAGGAGAACCAATGGACAATTGAGATGAACTCAATAGGAACTACTAATAACTCTCAGAAGCATTCAGTGAACTCGTTTGCATGTCCAAGGAACGAGAGTTAGAAGAAGATGGATAATAAAGCCTGGCTGCTTGTGTAACGAGAAGTAAGAAAGTACAAAAAAATGAAATACTATTAATTATATACATTTTTTTCATATAAAATATTACAAATAACTGCTATTAATAATTTCACACTTAATATGAGATTTTTTAAAAGAGGTAATAAAATAATTGACAATATACTTTTATAAGCATAGTTAATATACGATAAAATTTTGAATTTAAAAATTAAGGCCTCTGTAAGTCCTACAGCATTTGCTTTAGGCTCGTTTTGAAAAGAACTTTTGTTATCAGCTGATTTCTGTCATAATTAATTACCTATATTATTTAAAACATTTTAATTTTTAAATCTTATTATTTTAAAATTTAATTACCAAATTAACGCTTTAATCAGCTTCTTTCTGTCAAAAGAGAATGGAATTTAAATAAACTTTATATTATTTTTTATTTGATATCAAACTTTAATATAAAATTGAGGAATGGCATGCGTGTATAGCGCGCACTTATTCTAGTCTTTTTAATACAATATATTTTTGATCATGAATTATTACGCAATAAAATGATATAAAAAGTTTCTCAATGATTAAGTGATAAATTATTTTAATACGTTGTATTATGAAATTTTTAAAATATTGTAATACAATATTCCATATGCATTCCATGCCAAAATACAAAAAAATAAAACTTAAAATTTAAAAAATACGATAGAATTTAAAAAACAAAATCTAGCAAATGAATTATCGTTTTTATATGGATATAACTAAATGATAACTCCAAATTTAATCATGATAAGCTGGGTTCAGGTCCGACACCGTCTGCTAATTTATACACAAGTAAGGCTACTTCCGTAGCTAATTTGTAAATATCCGATGAGTTTTCACATTCCGCATAAACTCGTACGATGTTTTCAGTTCCAGAAGGTCTGAAACAAAAATTATAATCAGAACATTTAATGTAATTTTTTTTCTTTTTAACAAATTTGTAGACACAAATAATAGATGATAACACTGCATATTTCTGAACAAAGCTTTATATAAAAATACAAATTATTGTATTATACCTAACGAACGTTCGACCTCTTGAATATTTGGAAACTGTTTTATCAATTTCTTCTTGCAAACCAACAGGCGTCAAACATTGTCGTTCCGCATTCGTTGTTGTTATAATATTTCTATCTTGCACACTGACTTTAAGCTGCTTATTCGGTAAATCATTATAACTCCTTTCCCATTCGATTATATCCCAGCCCTTGTCGTGTAATATAGTCTCGACTAACAGTATATCGCTTAACGCATCGCCGACTGTTTCATTTATCAAATCAATTATGTTCTTCAGTTTTGTAGCGGCCGTTTTTTGTGCTTCCAAGAGATTCTCCTTCTTAGCATAATTCTTAATAATATTTTTAGCGGTATCTTTGAAAATTACAGTCCCGTGTCCATTTGCTTCAAAATAGACACCGATATCGAATTCCAACGCTTTTTTATGTAAATGCTTCACGCCGGTTGACACACAAGCGACTGGTACTTCTAATACTTTCGATATGTAATCGGTTGAACCGCCGTTGGCATATGCGGTTTGCACTAAGCCCAATTGTAATGATAAACCGCTCGTAGTTAATAGTTCCTTGAAATAGGCTGCCACTAGCGTGGCTATTCGGTCTCCGTCCAAGAGATGAAATTTATTATTCTCGTCTACATAAAAATATATTACTCTGTCGGCATCCCCATCTATACTGACACATCTGACATTTGTTTCAGAAGGGATATTCAAAGGCATAGTCTGTTGTACTTTGACATAATCTGCGCCGCACTTGTGATTCAAGACTCCGCTTCCATCGTTAATCAGTTTAATATCCAGCACATCCTTCAAGTATCTTTGAAATTCCTTCACTGCAATAGCACCGACACCATTTGCAGCATCCAATTGTAATACACTTGAGTATTTTTTATTATTTTTCTCAGTACCTCTTATACTTTTGAATACTGTTGCGAGTTTCGTATAATATCCTTGCAGTGTGGGATTGCCATAAATACCACAAGTGTTTATACATACTATGACATAGTGTAACTGCGGAGTGGTGACCAATCCTAAATCTGTAACATCACCATTCAAAGCTCTGATTCCTGCTAGTGCAGCATTTAATAAGATGGGACTGCTTTTACGAGTATCTATTCCTGTTATCACCCTTGCTGGTACTGATAAATCAATATTTTCTTTTCTAGATATATCTGTTAATGTTGATATCAAATCATTATCTTGTGCGTTAGCTAAAGTTGTTGCTATAGTTTCCCAAGAAACTTCAAGCATCTCACCAGCAGGATCAATGAGCTTGATACCATTATCAGGTTCTAAATTATGGCTTGCAGTAATCATTAAACCTATGGCAGCTGTAAAAAATTATTCGTTGAAGAACATAGAGTAAAAAATATTTGAAATTTTAATTCTATAATATGTTCTAACCTCTTTTTACTTTTGATCTTAAAACTGCTAAAAGACCCATTCTATATAAAACATGTTCCAGGACGTCTGATCTAAAATTAATACACATTAGATTTTACTTTAAACAAAATTAATATCATTGTGTATTAGGTCATAAAATAACACTACAGAAATAAATAAAATTATTTTTAATTAAAGAAATCAACAGGTGTCAATAAGAAAAATGAGTGAAAAAATTATTTTACTTTGCTCTAAAACCAGCTGTTCCATACTCAATATTTTTATCATATTTTCGATTGTATTCCACATTTACGATATTTTGAAAATAATTGGATTCCATAATGTATTTATTTTAATAATATGCTCCAATATGTCACAGATAACGTGAGAGTGACAGCATCTACCATATGCTCACTATCTACTATCTAACATATTGCTCCGACTCGTTGGTTGGTTCTTATAAATGGCTAAAGGCGACTTTACATCGTCCATACGCCAGTCACTTGCTCCGACTCTTGGACTAAGTCATGGTGGTACGAATATCTAGATGTGTACCATTCGAAGACGTTTTGATTGGACCCAGAATTTGATTGGTCAACCATGTGCTAGTTACTTTAGCCATCGGTCTCTGATTGGTGAGCGAAATTAACCAATTGTAAATCAGAATGATGTTAACCTATTATGATTTGATTTTTGAGAGCCGTATTTATCAGAGAACAAAATTTTTGATATGAATGTATTATAAAATATATGTATTGAAAAATTATTCAATCAGTGAAATTTAAGTAGATGCAGTTTATTTTAAATATTTATATGTATTACTGCTCACTATTCAAATAATTATTTTCCATTAATAAACTGATTATCACATGTGCATCAATTTCAGAAAAAATATATGTAAGATTATTTTTTAATGATATATGAAAACTTTGTTATTCTTACATTGAATACATAATTGTCAAATATTTGTTTGTTCTAGATCTACTTATCTATTATATAATGGATGGTTTAGATTTATTTAATATATTTCTTCAGACACATAAGCCACAACTTCAATGTTATGGCGTCCCACAATTATTCTGGGAAAATCTGTACAAGAAATTGAAGAATCAAATTTTTGATAGTGGCCTCGTCTTTCAATTAGCAAAGATGGAATATGAGAACGAAGAAAGACACGTTACTGAGCCAATTTGGAAACTAATTGTATCTGCGGAAAATGGTATTTCTGTAGAAGATCCAAATAATATTTACCTAATTGATCATGCCTGGACTTTTGATATTGGTAATGCTCGACAAAATTTAATTCAAGTACCCAATCTGCTTGATCGTATGTGCTTATTGATGGGCCTAGATGTTGAAGCTGAGGAACAGGAAAAAATTGAAAATATTATGAGAGAAATGTGGCGATACAATCAGTCATATTCAGTAAATTATGGAGCAATAGAAGACAGGATGCCAGTATGGTATGTTATGGATGAAGTTGGATCAGCGATAAACCACAGTGATGAACCAAATTTTAGAGCAGTACCTTTCCTGCACATGCCAGAAGGTGTAATTTATACACTTTTGTTTCCTATAAAAGATGTTGATACAGGGGATGAAGTTACAAGAGATTTTGTAGAGGGTCAAACAAAAGATCCTCAAAAGAGACGTGCATTATTATTGCCTTGGATCGACAGCACCTTTGAGGATGAAAGTTTTGAACAGACTGAGCCAGATGTTGATTACTTTTTAACAGGTCATACTCTTGAAAGCTTGCCAGAAGTAATGGATGAATTGAAGATAGATGCTAGTAAAAAATTAAAAGTTTTCTCACATTATGATAATGTAAATAATTATTTGACAGATTCAGCATTTGAAATTATTGATAATGAAGAAGAAGCAGATATATTGTGGCTTGTGTCTCATTATAAAACTTATAGAGAATTGAATCATTCTTCGCCTCACGTTTTTGTAAATCAATTTCCATACGAAAACGTTTTGACGATAAAGGATCTCTTGTCGATTGTATGTAGAAGAAAAGCAACGGATAAATTGTATGATCCAGATACTCTGGAGACTTATCCAGCATGGTTACCAACAACATACAACTTGAGCACAGAATTGATGCAGTTTGTTGCTTACTTTACACGACGAGCGGATAAGGATTTGGATAATCATTGGATTTGCAAACCGTGGAATTTGGCGAGAGGCTTGGACACTCACATCACGAACAATCTCTATCACATCCTGAGATTACCTTGCACGGGGCCTAAAATCGCGCAGAAGTATATCGCGCAACCAGTTTTATACAATAGGCCGGACATTAATCAAGTGAAATTCGACATAAGATACGTTATATTGCTGAAATCTGTAAAACCACTGCGTGCTTACGCTTACGCAAACTTTTTCCTGCGCTTTGCAAATCTACCATTCGCGTTGAACAATTTTGATGTATACGGCCAACATTTCACCGTCATGAATTATACCGAAGAAGATGCGCTCTTTCACTTAAAATGCGCCGATTTCATCGTGGAATGGGATAATCAGTATCCCGATTATCCCTGGAAGAGCTACGTCGAACCGAAGATTCTTTTCGTTTTACGAGAGGTTTTCGAAGCCGCAATCGAGCAACCCCCGCCGAAAGGAATTGCTGAGAATCCGCAAAGCAGAGCCGTGTATGCCGCCGACTTGATGTTGGAATGGAGAGACTCCGAAATGCAGCCCAAGTTGTTGGAAATAAATTTTACACCCGATTGCCAGCGAGCGTGTGAATATTATCCTGATTTCTATAATGATATCTTTAAATGTCTATTTTTGGATATTGACAATCCAAAAATCTTTCATATATTAAATTGAGTCGAACGCGATAAGAGATCGTTTGTACACTTTAGTTTTTCTAAAGAAAAAAATACATGTTAAGTATTTTTTAATTAAATGTTATATGACTGTTAATTCTCTCTATTATGTTTTTATATTATTTGATCAAGTAGCTACGTTATTTAAAATGTGTTATTTGAATATTTTTTATATCTTTCAAATTAATTTTGATGATTAGACCAACATCACATAATAAAAAATCTAACGTCACATATACTTATTTATTTATATAATAAAAAAAATCTATAATATATAGAATTTAACTAGTTTAAAAAAATATATTTTATCTTATTGTTAGTTTTGGTTATAAAAAATTATTTGTATAATTTAATATTATTATTTTATATCAAATTTTCTTTTTTCACAGAAATTTTTATTATAAATTTGGAATTTTTTAATTGCACTTTATTAAATAAGAAAAAGGTATAAGAAAACAAATGTGTGCTTTGCAATTTTCTAGTTAATATAAATTCATATTTTATTTTATTGACTATATTTTATTTATTATAATTTATAAATTGCATGCAAAATTAATTATTTATAAATTACATTTACAGGCAATTGATGATTTTATATTATCATCTTCTAATCATTAATGTTAAAACTAGCATAGAATTTATATCTATAAATTTAGTGAAAAAATTATTTTTATAAAATTATAATCTGATATGTATAATAATATATATATAGTTCGGAAAACGTGAATATATCAGCAAAACAATCGCATTTACATTATAATCTATGTGGAGCAACTCTTATTTTTGTTTGTCTATGGCTCAAGCACGAAACGTCAACGAAAAACAGTTTTGATAAGAAATTTTGTTCTCTTACATCTGTACAATTAACGATAATTATCGAATATGAGAATCGTTTGTGCTGCATTAAATTGTAAATATTCATCGGAAAATGAAGATTTGTCAAATGTGATTTTCATTAATTTTCCTAACGATGACACGTGAGTACAATAAGATAGGTTATCTTAATGTTTATGTAAATTAAATAATACTTCAATAGTTACGAAATTGAGATTTATCATTATTCTTATATTTTCGACGATTATTTATAATTATCATATTAGTATTCTGTCAATGCTTATTAAAAATTTGAAAATAATATTTATAGAGCCAAAACGTGGGCAGAATGTTGTGGCAGATCGGATTTAGCCACAAAATCGAATGCAGAATTGCATTTAAATTATTACATTTGCTCCCATCACATTGAAGATCGTTATTACATAAGCAAAACTGTGCCTATTATTATACAAAAAGGTACTATTCCTACCTTATTTAGCATCAACTCGAGTACCAATAATGAGGATTCAATAAGTATATTTGATAAATCACAGCATCTTCAAGAAGTAGATGATAATATGCCTTTAACATATTGTGATATGAATGTCGAGATAGATGAATATCATGATATTACCATCAGATTTACCAATTTGTGTCGAATCTGTGGTGAATCTGCTTTGGATGGAATAGATATTTTTGCAGCCAAGGGTATAGAATTTAAATTAAGAGAAAAAATAAATTTACATATGCCTATTTCAATTGATATACAAGACTCAATGCCACATAAAGTATGCATCGATTGTTGTAATAAACTGGAAATTGTGCACATGTTAGTTGTTTCATGTTTACGAGCTGATATACGGATGAAAAGATTTTTAAATATTGAAAGACAGGTAGGAAAAAATATTATTAACAATTACAAATATTTTTACTTATAAAATACATGAAAAAAGTTTGAAAAATATATAATCTACAATGTGACTTTTTGTTTACAGGCAGAGTATGACAATAAATACAATGCATTAATTCATGAATATTCATTAGAGGTGGCTCAAGAAATATGTGTAGATGATGGTACGAATCCTAATTCATTTATTACAAATAAGATAGTAAACCCTTCAGAAACAAATTTGAGAGAATTGGGAAATGGTGTATGTTCTGATATACAGAATCATAATTTTCAAAGCATTACAAAGAATATTGTGCCATCAGAATTGAATACTCTGATTCAATCCTGTACAGAAGTTAACAGCAAAGTTAATGAGAATATTGCGGAAGAAATATTACAAATTCAACAAGATAAAATCCAGAATGAAAGTCATAGCATTTTATGCTTGCAGTGCCAAACTTTGTGTGATACACAGGAAATATTTGAGAATCACCAAATATTTTGTAGTAAGAAAGAAGACGTTGCTAAACATTTACCTATATCTAGAATTGCAGAAAATAAAAAGTATAGGAATGATCAAGTTAGCTGTAAAATAAAAAATTCTCAAACATACAATAAAAGTTGTGAAAATAAGCAAGTTATTGATAAAGCTGAATTATACGAATCAATTTATTGTACTGTTTGTAATCAAGCATTTAAATGTCAGCAGGATTATGACAATCACAAATGTCTTCATGAAAATCTTATTAATGGATTAAATAAGAAGTGTGGTCATTGTAAAAAAGTTTATCACAATAAGAAAGACTTGTTAAATCATATTGTAGAATCGCACGAGGGGCGATTATTATTTCAGTGCTCTACATGTGATAAGATGTACGAGAAATGGTCTAGCTTGGACATTCATGAAGCTACTCATAGACTAGATAAACCATACCTTTGCGATCTGTGTGGGAAAAGTTTTAAGCATTCTAATAATTTGAGAGGTCATAAAAGAATTCATTTAGATGAATCCATAAAGAAAAGACACATGTGTGAGATCTGTGGCAGTGCATTCAGATCACGGTAATAATTATAAGAAGTTATTCTGAAAATTATTTCAGCTATTTTATGTGTTAGTTTCTATATTATATTTTTTGTCTTATTTTGTATAGGTTTCATTTGCGAGAACATATGAATCAACATGATGGCAACAGACCCTATTCTTGTGAACAGTGTGGGAAAGCCTTTTACAAAAGGATTCAGTTACGGCAACATAAATTATCGCATGGATTTAATAGGCATACATGTCCAATTTGTGGTGCGACATTTAATCGCAGAGGAAACATGAACGCGCACATGAAACGACATAATGCGATTGGAACATATACATGTAGCGTAAGTGTATTTATAACTTGTAAAAATTCTGTGCATTTCATTGAATTTTCTTATTTTTGTGTATATTACTATCTATGAACTAGATATTCTTGTCGAAAATTGATTGAAAACAATATAACAAGAGAGAATAATTGATTTATAGGTCTGCGCCTACAAATGCAAGTCCATGAGCGAGTTGAAAATACATAGGAAAAAACATAGTGAAGAAGAAATAGTAGATAGTATCAAGAAGAAATGTAATGACAAGGAGATATGGCGGTGTAACGTCTGCAACAAGGTATTCCCAAAGCGCACTGTTCTGATAAATCATGAACGCGTACACGGGGACGATAAATTGTACGAGTGCGAGGAATGCGGTAAAAAATTAGCGAGTAAAAGCTCGTTGATATTTCACAAGAAATCGATACATCTGAGAGAGAGATCGCATATGTGTCATATATGTGGAATTGCATTTGTTTCGAAAGAGGCGCGACTGATTCACGAAAGGATACACACCGGAGAACGTCCTTATGTCTGCAAGGTGTGCAATACGCGATATAGATGTTCCAGTAATCTCAGTCAGCATATGAAGATCCACACAGGTCTTAAGCCGCACAAGTGTCATCATTGTAACAAGAGTTTTACGCGCAAAGGCGCGTTAATTGTCCACGAAAGAATCCACACGGGGATTAAGCCGTATCCTTGCGAGACTTGTGGTAGAAGCTTTTCGCAAAAGAACGATATGTTGAAACACGCAAAGACGCATAAATTAATGCAATGTAACGAGTGCAACGAGCTTTTCAGAAGGAAAAAAGATATGTTGAAGCATATGACAACGCATAAACAAGAGACTTCGGTGATTTCAAATTATGTCGATTCACCGTCACATATTCGAGTTTATGCCAGTACAACTGCCTCTTCGGATAGAGAGAGAGAATGAATAATATCAATTTTTTAATGGAAAATAATATTTTTGACTGATGGTGTTGGTTTCATCGTCTGAATTGAAAACAGATCCATGTCGAATAAGTTGTATCGGCTGTGGAACGTTTACATGGATATGTATATTTATATTTTTTATTGTAAGCATATAATAACAAAAATATTAAAATTCTTGATTTTTCTTGATCTGGACAATTTCTATTTAAAATTCGATTCGGTGACTTATGTAAATATTTTTAATATTCTTATTCAAAGATTGCAATTAAATTATAACATTTCATAGTACAATTAAGATATGTATGGATACGACTTGTATTATGTTATTAGTTTATTATACAATTATTTGTTAATCTAACAATTGTCTGATATATTTCCAGATTGTCCGAGGCCTGACGCTGAATTTTCGCAAGGAAATCAGTTGACTAATGAGTTTCGTCGATGTTATTATCCATAATGTTTTTCAAGAGAGACGAATGCCATATAAAACAAGGAATATATTAGGTATAAAATTAATTTTCATGCATAATTTTTTGCGATATATCGATATTATAATAATTAATTATTTTGAGGGATAAAATTATGAGATAATTGTTATCTACATAAGCTGCTAATTGGGAACTGAGAGAAAAATATGAGGTGTAATGAAAGTCATTGTTATATATAGAATAATACTCTTTATTGTTTTTGATAGTTCTTGTCGTTTTTCATATCGCACGTGCGCTGCAGTTTCTTTTTATTCAACTTTTGTCATTCAATATCCAGTTAAACGATTCTTCATTTTGACTGTCAGTTCTGCTGCTGCTGCTGCTGCTGTTGCTGCTAATATATTTTGGTAGAACAGTACGTGATACACAACTCCACGATTTTTTTTAGAACAAAGAGAAACGAAAAAGAAATGGCGACACGCCCGATCACTCGCAAACACACACGTGTGCCGTATTTATTATTCGTCGACCGCATATAGGACTAGAGTAATTGCGATTTCCCACATTTAACACATTTCTCTCTCCCACATTTGCCTGATTAAGTCGCATATTCTGTAAGAAAATTTTCACTCTATAAGTTCTGTAGCTCTGTGTAGTTGTTTCTTTTTTCGCTCTACAGTGATACATTGTTTACAGAGATACAGCGTTATAGAGCAATTTTATAGAATAGACTCACATGTATATTCCGTAAGAAAATTTTCGCTCTATAAGTTCTGTAGCTCTTTCTTTTTTTTCACATTTCGCTTTACAGTGATACATAACTTATAGAGATACAGCGTTAAAGAGTATTTTTACAGAAGACCATAAATCTTTCTCAATTCCTAAATGATCGAGTAGCACACGTGCTTTTTGTGCGCAAGTACAAACGTGGGCCTTGATCAGAGTCGCACGAACAGCGAATGTCATCGCTCAAAACTCGTCACGCGCTCGTTAACAATTATTTGTATCTTAATTAATTGTATGATTTTCTTTTAAACGCAGCGGCCTCGCAACGCCACGCTCCCTCCTTATTTATGATCGAGTTATGATCGAGTGATCGGCGCATGGTCGTCGACGACGATACACAATTACGCATCCTTCTCTCTCTTTCTTTCTCTCTCACTCTCTTTCTCGGTTGGAGTAATTAAAATCTCCGCGGGCTCCGCGTTAAATACGCGCGCACCCGGCGCGCGCGTTGCGAGTGCACGGCTGTCAGAGTCGAATAACAAGACGGACGACTCGTCGAAGAGAGTTTTTCCGATTTTTTTCGAGGAGCGCGCGATAATTTTTAGCGAGGATCTCCGACTGCTCGATCACGTTCGCGAAAGCCGGCACTAAAGGTCACTCGGCGCGGAAGAGATCGCTCTTTCGAGCCCTCGAGTCGTCGACGGATAGCTTCCGGAAAGTGCTGGCTGAAACCGGATGACCCGGAAGTGCCGTGCGTTTGCGTTTGCCTGACGACACCCGCCTCGATTCGCGACCGTCCTCTCCTTTTTTTCTTCTCCTTTTAATCCTATATTTTTTTCTCTCGTCTTTCTTTAAATTAATTATCTCTGTGTCTCTCTCTGTAACTGTCATCCTTTGCGCTACTATTTACAATGTACAACGTCGTGCATCCTTCCTGCCCTAATTTTTTACGACGGCGCAGAGATCGACGCGATCGCTTCCCCATCGACAATTCTTCTCATCGCTCCCTTCATTCCTGGAACTTTTACTCTTCGTTCGCGAGTTTCTCACGGTAAAGGAACAAGGTCGAGGGAGAGACGAAAATTGAGCTCGTAACTCGTCGGGTATAAATAATTAAATTTCAATCCGAGAATAAAATGATCTTATATAATTTTATTATAAGTCCGATATATTGAAATAAATTACGAGCTTAGCGAGTTATTCACATTGAGGAAAAAAATATATCGCGAATTTTGTATAACGTTTTAAATGTTGTGCAATCTAGAATCTAGAAATCTGTAAATGTAACTTGAAAAAAATAATTTTGCGAAAACTCGAAAAGTCGTCATGCACGCAAATAAAAACGAATATCATCGCCACGATGATGAGGAAGAATCGATCGCGGGAGCCCGTCGCCGTCTTATATTATTTATCAAGATAAATATATACATACATATATGTATATATATATAATAATAATAATAATAATAATAATAATAATAATAATAATCTTATACACATATACGCACACGTATACGTGTACATATACACTTTTTTCTTTATAATATATATAATATATCTTATTTATTTATATATATATATATATCTCAATATTAGACTTATCCTCTTTTTCGCTTAAAACGTATCTCGCATTATTTATACTATGTACAAACGCCTCTCCATCCGTTGTCCCATTATAGAAAAGGAAGAAAAAGAATAATAATAAAAAGAGACGCGATAATATTATATATCGTGTTAGAGCGTGTCGCACACCGTATGCACGTCGACGTGTGCCGAAGATTCGCGCGCGACCTTGCCGTCGGGTTTTAACAGCCGTAACTTTCTCTTTCGGCGGTTTTTAGGCACTTCACGAAACGCGCGTGTCCGAGACGGCGAGCTACGCGTCCGCGTGATCGCGAAGGACCTCGACATACCCGATACGCCGCCAGCGGCTCGTTTACCTTTGGCCGAGGAAGCTGAGACTCCCGCGGACATACTTGACAGTTGCTTATTATTGCGTCTTTCAGATATTCGTGACGTCCGAGAAGGGATCTCGTAGGCGGATTTAGACTTCCTTAAGAAGGAAGTTTATGACTTCTTATACGCTATTACAGAGATGGAATAATCATAGATAAATGCATTCGTTAGAACTTTTTCTCTACATATCGAAATTCCGCTATTTTTATTCTTTAACTCGTCTTTTTTTAAATCCGCCTACAGTCGTAGATTTTATTCTTCTTCAGCGTAGACTATTGTCTATTGCGCTACGTCAATGATGACAATGGCCAACAGTATAGGACAGCAATCGAATTTGATTCATTGAACCTACGTATGTGTAGCAATCGACTGCGATTGCTGCCCAAGCAATTTGTCCTTTACGTATAGATTCACGATTGACACGAGTGCGAGACGCTGCTGGCGCGAGGACGTCATCGGTCTTCGTAACCCCTTCGGTATAACAGCTTTTTTTTTTCTTTTGAGAAGAGAATATACATTTTAGATCCTTCTTTGTATCCAGATAATATGCGAAGAGAGATGTACATAAATTACTTTTGATATCAGTTCGGATGTGCCCGATTCGCGAAGGGGTTAATTTACAGAAACGTACGCGACTTAAAACACGCGCGATGCTATCCGCTTCCAATAACTTTGCTTGATATTAACAATATCGTGGAAGAACAAACGCGACTGCTCCACTGAAAAACGTAGTGCATTAGGTATATATTTATGGATGTTTTCGCTCTGTGCTAAGTGCGATAATGAAAATTGGAAATTTATAATATATTACTAATTATACAATTATTATAATTATGCAACTGTAATTGAATCACAAGTAAAGTTATAATAAATTATAAATTTAAACTGATTTATAAAATATAACGATATAAGAGTAGTGAATGATTTAGAAGACGTTGCATCATTTTGTTTTTCCGCGGAGCAGTCAAACGCACGTCGCACGCGCGAATCCCCTCCTTCAGCGTACAATAAAATCGGAGGGTGAATCGAATTTAGAAATGAAAAACTCGTCGATTGATTCACTTCCGCTCGTTTCCCGAGCGTCGTGTTATTTTTTTTTCTTCCAATTCTCTTTTTTTGATAATTTTCTAGTTAGAAATAATTTATATAATAATTATATATATATATATATATATATATATATATATATATATATCTCAATTTTTCGGATAAACTTTACAAAAATTTCAAATATACACATTCTATCTAATTTACTTCTTCGCAGAGAGTTTCAATCGCTATCTATTCGGCGAATTTAAATTTTGTGCAGCAATAGTGAGAGATGATGACAGCTTCCTGTATAGCCGATACTCTACTATAATAAAACCAACTCTCTCGGTCGGAAAGGAGCTACCGCGCTTTCGTCTAATCACTGCTCTTTCCCTGAGAGATTTCGAGTCTTCGCATTTGTTCGATCTTCGGATCTCGTGGATCGATTCACCCACCGTTATTACATGATAGGTGGTCGTCTTCGACGCTCAACGCGCATACAAGGTCGCATATGTAACGCATACAGACATAAAGATCTCGTGTGTGACACTCTCGCGCGGTCAGATACATCGGTTTGTACGTACGCCTTTTTTTCCTTTATCTAAATTCTCCCCGCGCTTATTAAAAGTAATATTGCTCGTCGTATTCGCGAAGAAATCGCGCGGAGAGGGAAGGGGGAGGAGGGAGCATTATCGCGAGAAGAGGGGAGAGAGGATGTGACAGAAGATGTGTGCCGATCGTAATGCGCTATAGTACAAAGTAGAAAATGGAACTCGAGGAAGGATTGAGGATAGCGGTTCACAGGGTGAGATGAAAGGTTTCTTCTTTCTCGACGACTCGCGCGTTTATACTTAAGAGCTTAACTTAGTAAGTAACGCATATATAATATATATTTATATATAATATATACAACAAGTATCTATAGCATATCTCGCGTTATGTCTCTGTGTATATACGTGTTGTGTCGTACATGTCGTGTAATATGCGTTTATGTCCCGCGTGTCATCATAAGAGAGAGAGAACAATCATATATAATTACAATTTAAATCAACTCTATCATGATAGTTTACATTAGTCCTTTTTACACACATGCACTGCGTTTACACTCTTTATGTCTCTTTCTCGCACACACTCACATTCATCCACTCTCTCGTTTAAGTAATCAGTCGAGTCGATATAAGTTATTATATTCTCTTCGTAACGTTAGACTTTCTTAAATCGTTTAGCTTTTTTAAGTATAGCTGCTCTCTTGAATGAATTCGTGGACGTTGAGGGCGAGATCGCGTACGGATCCACGCGAGAAGATGCGTCCGGGATCGAGGGTGGGCTTTTTAAATCGAACCTTAACTCTCGAGCGTTCGCCTTCTTCGCGCGCGCGCGCGCACGCCGGCCACTCTCTAGTATTTATATTTAATATATATATGTGTGTGTACATATGATACATTAATGGGAGATCAGTGACGCGCAGTGGCCACCGTGCGACGATCCGAAGGGGAGAACGTTATCCCGATCTCTAAAATGCAGGTACATTTGTCGACGTCGTACGTCGAGACACAAGATATTCACACGAAGGCGCCGGCGTCTCGCGTTAATCTCTCCTTGGGATGCATCATCTATTTCATACATGTATGTAGTATACGCATGACGTGGGTCCCATTGCGTTCCACTAGACGACCGCAATTATTCCAGTTTATTATCTTTGCAGATTCATTTTTTTTCAACGCTCTGAAGGAATAAATAATTCATATTTTCTTCTAAAGTTTTTTTTTTTTTTCAAAACGTAACTCATTATCACTGATGAATTTCTCATTAAGAATATATTTTGCATTTCTTTAATATAAATTACCAAAGTTTCAGTTTTTATCTTATATTTCTTTCCTTCTTACTTTTTTCTACTTATTTATAAACAGGAAATTCGTAGACTGATGGTCATTCTGATAAAATAGTTAATGCGGAGTGTTCATTTAAAACGGTGGTTGAGTCACATCGGCCCACGTCATGCATTTTCGGGTTAACCCGTTGCGTTGGAGCTTAATGGACTTTGAAAACCTAATGGACTACTTTGCATGCTTAATTTTCACATTTCGACTTACAATTAGACATTGTGATTGAGTCAATCGTGACATATACTTCTTCGCTATGATTCGATGCAAGAAAAGAAAAAGTTGTAGATAAATGTTACTATTTGTCGAAAGAATAACTGTCGGTTGAAGATCACTATTATTAATTAAAAGTGAGTGTTCACGTCAAGAAACATACGTCGCTTTGAAATTAAAAATAACAAATATATTAGAATTATTTGTACTTTCAGATATATTTATATATACATATATGTGTGCATCTCTTAGAATATTAAAAATCAAGGTAGTATTCGTAAGACGATATTTCGTATAATCGCTGTATGAAAATAATTTTTGTTCCCGACAATGCTTCTCACGATGACACTCACTAGCGTTAAAAACATGCATTCTATTGCACAGCCCAAACATACATATATATATATATATATATATATATATATATATATATATATATATATAGTTCCAACGCAAGTATTTAAAACCCTTTCTTTCACCATCCTCATTCTCATAACGCGTAAACAATCGAGACTGAGTCGCATCAACCTATCTATCTACCTATCTTGGTTCAACAATTTTGACGAGACCTAACAGATACTTTTTGACGATTCGTCTGCGGCATTGCGCGAGATAAAGAATTATGCTCAAAACATTATGATGCGACCAGTTTCTCGATCGAGACGCCGACATCTCCGATTTACATCGTATCACGTTTACGACGGTAGGACGCGTCACGACGACCCCGAGCGACGGAGCGATCCATGCGAATTCGGTATGCGTTCGGCTTAATTGAGGTATGAATGTACGTGTGTATGCGTGTTCGTCTGTCCTAGAGAAAAAAGAAGCACCAAGCTACAGCCGCCCTGTAGCACCATATGACTTTTGTGTGTGTGTGTGTGTGTGTGTGCACTTGCACTCGCGCGTGTCTCTTCGTGCGTCGTGCGTATAATATAGGCCACGGCGGTCGTATATATTATATATACTATGTGTGTGAGAATGAGTGTACATGGTTGCATGGTTGTGTTAGCGCGGATGGTGTATCATCGATGTTATCATCGATTGATCACATTCGCGTTCTAGAGTCGCAGACTCCGATGTTGAACGTCATTTCGTGAAAAAAGATCTCTCCCGGACGGTCTTCCTCGGCAATTTCAGAATATAACTTACGAAGAGGGAGAAGTCGCACAGAAAAGGGAGCAGAAACTCCCCGAGCCGAAAGACTTTGATCACAGTGTTCTCGTAGTTTTTCGGCCCCGGAGAAGCGAAAGCTTCTTCGTACTCGATAGCCAAAATTATCTCTTTCCCTCTCTTTTTTCCGTCCTTTCGAATTTTTCCGCGCAATAGGTATATCTTAATCGCTTTTCTGAAAACTCGCACGTGAATCTTCAAGCTCGCAGATGCAACGTAATAGAGTTTCAATCCTCTAATATACGCGTTTTATCAGGTGTCGAACATAGAATTACACGGATCATCATTACGTGTTTATTGGAGATTTGACGATTACCGATGATTTCCTGAAATCTGATAGCGGAGATTATTTTGAGATAAGTTAATCGCGTTTGCACCTGCGGAGAAAACAATACACGCGGGATAGCCCGATACGAAAAACCGTCCGAATTTCTTGCCGGGACATCGGATTATTCAACGCGAGTAGCAGCACCTGTCGATTCGCGAACAGTGAAGATTCTTCTCCATACAATCGCCCTTGCTTGCCCTTCTTTCCCTGGTTTTTTCAATGTTCTCAGAGCGTTCTGTTGTCTTGTCTGCACCTGCGAATGTGCCGCGTGTCATGACGCGTCCGTCCCTCGGGGAGTAGATACTTATTGTGGGAGACACGTTGATTAGCGATAGTGTAATAATAGTAATAATAGTAATAGTATTAGTAATAGTAGTAATAGTAGTACTAGAAGTAGAGTAGCGATAGTAGTAGGAGTAACCGTAACAATAGTGGTAAATAGTCACGGGAGGGTAGAGTAGTAGTAGCAATAGGGCCCACGGTGGTAGCAGTTATAATAGCGGTGGTAAAAAGAGCGGAGGAAGAACGAAAGTGTCGCAGGAGGTTATTCTCGGTATTGTATTTGTCTGTCCGTATTTGTAAATGTGTATGTGTGTAATTGACGCGACAATAATAAATTAACGCGGAGAGAGAGAGGGCGACTCCTCGAGAGTCGCCGGCCAGACTTCGAACGCTCCAGAGAGAGGGTGAGCCGTATTCATCGCCGTCTCTCGCCCGCGCACCTTCCAGGGACTTTTTTCGCAGGATTTTCGCGTGCTGGCCGTCGTCGTGGATCTACTTGCCCTGCGGCGTCAGCGGATAGAAATCGATGAGATGACTCAACGATGTCAAGGTCGAGGGCTATGATCCTACGCACATCAACGACTCGTGCGTACTACTGCTGCTACCGACGTTGTTGACGCTGGTGCTACCGACGACGTTGCTGTTGCTGCAGCTACTGCCGCAACTGCTCCCCGAGGACATTAGATGCTGCTGCTGCTGTTGTTGCTGCTGCTGATGATGCTGATGATGGTGATGGTGATGATGATGGTGGTGATGATGATGCTGTTCCTGGGTCGTTGTACTTCTCAGGATATCGTCCGTCGAGAGGGATGTCAGTTTCCACCCGGGCATAAAGTCCAGATCGAGATCGGGCGCTATGTCCACGTCCAGTAGTTCGTTGTTGTTGAGCGGGTCGAGCGGCGATTGGCTTGACAAGGATAGCACGCTGCCCCAGTTAATCGATCGGCTGTCGTCGCTGTCGCCGATGCCGGAATCAACGTCGGTTTCGCCCGACGACGTCGGTGGCACAGGGAAAGGTGTTAACCTACCCTGCTCAGGTGGTTGCAACTGAGCTATCGGTGCCGGTATGACCGGCTCCATGGGCGGTGGACTCCTGTCCCTTTCCATCTCACGTTCCAGGTGTCTCAAAGTATTGCAGATCAATACCGACCTGTGGAGGCTTGGATCCGGGAACTGGCGGTACCTGGCGAGCTTGCACATGGAGATATTCAGGACGGCGAGTCGCCGCTGACGGTAGCAGGCTCGACCGCGCCGGCACCAGCTCGACTTGGAGCCTTCGCAGCATCGCTCGTTCGCTCGATAACTCGAGCCGAGTTCCAAGTAACTCTTGCCGTTCTCGTCGCGACGTATCGTCGGCGGTTCGTAATGATGAAGCGCGCCCCATTGCGGCTGAGATCTCGATAGCTGATTGTAACCGTTGTTGCCGATCGGACTGACGGCGCTGCGCTGGTGATGATAGTAATGTTGATGATGCAACTGCGTCACCGTGGACGAGGCCGACGTTGAGGACGACGCCGGCGATTGTTGCTGCTGCTGCTGCTGCTGCGATTGCTGTTGTTGCGCCTGCTGCGTCGACTGGGAAGATGAATGGTGTTGTTGAGACGAATGTTGAGATTGCTGCTGCTGTTGCTGTTGCGACTGCGAGGAACTCGTCGCCGCTGGCTGGCACGGGTTCGTTGCCTGTAGGCAGGGTGAGCTCACCTCCATCTCGTAATACGACGTCGACGTCTGGTTCAAGGGCGGTCCGTAACTGTCGTCCATCGCCCACCAGCTACCGTCCACGCGTCCAAGCTTCGACGGACTCTCGCCCAAGTCCATATGGAATTCCACACAGCCAACACCACCCTCCAATTTGCGTTTTCCTGCCGTCGCCTGCAGACCCATCATTGCACAACTCTGAAAGCACGCATAAATCGCTACCATTAGCTCCGCGTACTTTCTCGTTTCTAACTCTATTTATAGAAAAGGCCGTACTTGAGAGAGACAGGGCATATTTAAATTTATAATTCTATATCGTATCATATATTTCGCCACTAACGACTAAAATTATTAAGGGACAGCATTATCTCGCGTATTCGTCGGCGTTAATGCAATAAAATCGAATGGGCGCGTTTAACTTGACGCGCCACACAGAGGCGAGAGAGGACGTGACTCAGACGCTCGGCACTCCGACGAAGCGACGGAGAAAATGACGTCACGCGACTCCCTAGCCCTGAAGAAAAATCATCAGTGGAACGCGAACGATCGCTGCTGGAGAGAGCCGGTTCGACTTCCAATAATATCTTATATAAATATCATCTGGTTCGCTGATATTCGTGACAGAATTCATAAATTCGAGCTCCGATTACTATGAAATATCAAATAGAATGTTCTTGTACTTAATTACAAATTATTTCGTTACCAAGCTGTATAAATAAAATCATCGAGAAGCGTACTTGTCATTAAATATCTTCGGGAGCTTGCGGAGTCTTAAATATGAAAGCTGAAGAAGAGAATGTGAAAAACGTGATACAGAGGGTGTAATTCTTTCGGGATTGTAATTCTTTCGAGTCTCGTCGTCGATCGAGCATAAGGGCGGGTCGAACTCGCGCGCGTATCTCGCGACCCTACGAAAGCGGCAGTACCCACGCAGCCGTGGATGATTTACGCGCGTACGAGGTCGCGCGAGTGAAAGTAAGTAAATAATCGTTCCTCCCTCCAGCCCTTGCTCACCTCGGGAGACAGAGAGACGCGTTTCTCCGTTGACGCGAGCGAGAACGCGCTCTCGCGAGCGTGAGAAAGAGAGGCCGAAGTAGGGGGAGGTAGAAGGGTGAGAGGGCAGAGGTAGGAAGAGAGAGAGAGAGAGAGAGAGAGCAAACAGTGTATCGCCACGGTTGTGCTCGGAGATGCCGTGAGATGTCACCGGCGATATGTTCGTCGGCTGACCGAGTCCACGTGGCCACCACATGACGTTTGATTTCACGAAAAAAAAAGATACGAGGGGAGAGGGGCCGGTGGGGTGGAACTTCACTTCGGGCGAGACCGAAAAAGTGACGGCGTCAACGTCGAGACGCAAGGTCGACCGAAAGGGTAACGCGACGAGGCTTTTGCCTCCTGGGCACGTGGACGCGTGAAATTCGAAACGAAGGCGGAGGAGAGGATGCGACCCCCAGAATCCCTTTCATAATCGCGCGATTAATCCCGTTACCAAAGTCGATTATCGTCTCTTTGACTTAACATCGCTAGACTCGATTATAGAGCGAATTGCCACTTATAAAACTTGGATAATTCGCGAAACTTTTGCAAATTTGCGTTAGAAATAATCGCGGATGCTACATTCTCCTATTCCGAATGTTTCCAACTCGCAACTTATTAAATTTCGAGTCTCTCATCGCGTTCGAGTTAAAGAGAAACGTAATTTTTAAAATTGATAATCGCCAGAAACGATATTATTCCACAAAGTGTCATGACAGATCGAAATCCTTTCAGCTTAACGATTTTTGTTCGGAAAAGCGGAAAGCCGATGTTCCTTCATAAGCTAAAGCCGACGAAGAGAACGACTATATGTCGTTTCGCTCAAACTTGAACTAAAACGGTCAGCAAGGTATTAAGTTTCGTCAATTTTTCATATAGATTCGTTCGCTGACGAAGTTTGCCATGAAGACAAACCGCGCTAGCATTTCGCACGGAATGTTTCGAGGCGATAATAGGATTCGTTCGACGAACAGACGTCATCGTCACCGTATTTCCATCGAACTCGGCTTCCACACGTCACTACCAAAGCAGTGCCGATAGCGCACACAAGCTCTACTCTTATAGCTGTAGTCACGACCGAATCTATCGCGAGCGAAGACGCAGACGTGATACGTTTCTATATTCTCGCTGCTCTGTTCTCTCTCCAGAATTTCTAGAAAAAATTCCAAAGTCAACAGATGACTCTAAATTACCATTTTTTTAAATTATATTATAATTTAATTAAAAGAAAAATAAAAAAAAATGACATGGTAAAAAGTAAATATCTTTGTTTGAAAAGCGCGATCCAGTCCGACTATAATGGATCGGAGCAATTTCTGCTCGCTGACGATGGTAGCTACGTCCCTGGACTCGAGTATCTCTAGCGGCAACAGCTTGTGCTCTCTTGCGGCCGTGTATATCCGCCGCGACCGGCCGTAGCGGCCTACTTGGAATATGACTCGCTCTCGCGGAGAGATTCTCCTTCCAACGCGACGTGGTCAACCGGTCAGCTTGGAGCTCCGAGGAACGTTCGTGGAATCGTCGTGGAGGAAAAACAACGCGCGATGGATCTCATCTCGCCTTCCGACGTCGAGAAAACGAAACGCTTTTTCCGAGGAATTCGTTTTTTTTTTTTCCCTAGACTACATCTGCGATCGGAGTAATTTACGACGTTCTTTGAACGAATTTTGAGATAAATGATGGATTAATTAAATAATTAAATCGTTGAGAAATCATGCATATTCAAAAACGTGCGCGCTACTTGAAATCTAGGATGCAAAATGTGACGCGCAGATGTATAATTCACTTATCATCGAGCGAGAGAGATAGAGATATCTGACGTTTTTATTTTACTCCATACTTATCACCGATAGATTACTGCGCGAGCACTACGAAATCTTAGTTATCGCGCGAAATTATATAATTGTATAATTCGTAAGTATCGTACAGATTGGCGGGGAAAGAATATTCACGCTTCGTATAAATCATCCCGTATATACATCGGGGAATCGAGGACATATACACACGAGCTAATAATTTGGTCGATCGGCGAGAAACTTTGTTATTGTCCCGCGTGATGTGACTCGAGGCTTCGTACATATACATACATATGTGTACACGATACTTGGGAGTACACTTGAAAATTTCGGCGGGATTCGGGCGGGCGGTTACGGATGCGGTCGTAATCTCGGCGTCTCCTCCTCTTACGTGCGATATTTGCGAAGCGTGACCGGGCACTTGTTGAATCGACAACGGGAACGGGAACAAGAGGAACACCGGGGGCGACGGAGAAAGGAGGCGAGAGAGAGAGAGAGGCCGGGGCAAAGCGTAGAGGATAGTGCGGGAGAAAGGGGCGGGAGAGACGGATGGACGGTGAAAGGTAAGGTGGTTAGGGAAAGGAGGAAGTGCAGGGTGGGTGGGGGAGGCAGGAAGGGATGAAGAGGTACAAAACGCGAGATGAGAGAGAGAGAGAGAGAGAGAGGGTGACCGGTGTGAAAGAGGGTCAGAGGAGGACGAGGGTGAGACGACACACAGATGGGACAATAAGGGAGAGGGAGGGACGAGAGGAGGAAATACACTGGGAAGGATTAGTTGTACGTGGCGATAATATGCGGTTCTTAACTGCCCGTAAATCAGAGTTGAGAGGCGCCACGCCCCGACGCTCCTTTTCCACTCGTGAAATCCTCCCAAGTTGCATCTCGTTTGTAGATCTCGCGAATCTCGCGGCTTCGTGTTCGTCGATATCGTTATTAAGGGAATCCTTACCAAACTTTGCCCAAATTAAAAGACGATATCTGATATTTGATTTGAAAACAATGAAAATATGTCCAACATGTCGATATCGATTATTAAGGGAATCCTTTAAACAGATTTGCCTCCAAATGACTCTGAAATTAAAAGACGATATCTGATATTTGATTTTTAAAAAATGTTAAATATGCATCGGTACCTATGGTTTGATAAAAGGACTCTCCGACATGTCGACTGGTTTCCCAGATATTTCCGCAGATTTACAGCCTTCGCGGCGAACTCGGACTGCATAAGTTGCTTCGATATATATCGTATTTAAATATAAAGGAAATCATAGATTCCGCGACGCGTGGCAACTTTGACGGCGAGTGATAAAACGGATTCGCCACGAGCGAGCAACAGGCGTCAAGCGAGCGAGGGAAGAATAACGAAAACATAGGGAGCATAAAACCCGGAGAAGTTTTATCGCGGTTCGAAACCCGGAGACGAATACGAGGTAATCCGGTGCGCCGCGAGACTTCGATAACCGTATAAATTGTCGGGGAGTATAAAAAAAAAATAGGATCTCTCTCTCGCGCGCGCTAAGAGAATTCGTCGCGTCGCGATTCGATACGAATCAATGATCAACGGAATGCGGATGATGACACGTTAGAAGTGGAGGAGCCTCGCGACGTATCCGACTATAACCGGATGACGAAACGGGTGAGTTTACACGTGCGGATAAAGTACTTGTAAATAATTGAAGAACCGATATGCGAGAAGCAAGAATCGAAATCCAGCGGGTCCAATTTCTTCGAGATTGTGTGTACGAATCAGCGCTCGATATCTTCATATATGATGAAATATTTAAATTATCATTTATGATTTAAATATGTACACGCAGAGAGAGAGAGAGAGAGTTCTGCCTTAGAATTTATCCTGAAAATCATGGTAATCCTGGGACAATACTGTATTAGAATTTTATGAGTTTCTGTTTGCTACAATAAAAAATATTAATATATCTGCCACGATAAGAAAAAATATGTTCGATTAATTTTACTATGTACATATATATTAACCTGTTTTTATTGTGGTCAATATTTATCAGAGAAGCTCTTATAAAATGCTTCCTGTATCATGTTGTCCCATGATTATCATAATTTTCAGGGTGAATTTTAAAAGGAAATTCTCTCCGTGTGTATATATATATATATATATATATATATATATGTATATAAGCAAACATTAAATAAATATATAAATGAAAATTTAGGTAAATTCTAGGTGCAGATTGTCATTAAATAATGCATAGATGCTTAATAACAGGAACGCTCTTCACTAATGAGCAAGAAATCGCGATAATGATGGACGATTAATCAATCAATGATCTCGCAACGCAGGGCTCCTGACTATCATAATACAACTGAGATTAAATAAAAAAGAATGAAAAAATC